AGTCGCTCGGTGTGCAAAGTTTGGGAGCAGATGTTGAGCAGACTTGGGAGGGTCCAGCTCAGAGAGGAGTGGGCTCGTAGCCTCGGGTGGAAGTTGGTTGGAAATCCCGACAGCCCCCCTAGAGTAGCCAGGACCCCACGCCACCCCAACCAGCCTTGGGTCCCACTCGCCTGGCGCGCTCCAGCCTTCGCCCCCCCCCGCCGCCCGCCCGCCCCGCCCCCCCCCGCCCCCCCCCCCCCCCCCCCCCGCCCCGGCGGGCCCCCGGGGGGTCCCCCCCCCCCCCGCCACAAGCCCCGCCCCTCCAGCCTCCCGGGCGCCTCTGCAGCAGGGGCTGGGGGCGAAGTCGAAGGTGGTCGTGGGGGTGGACTCGCTCTCGCTGCTGTCTGTGCACGTCCTAGGGGCTCAGTCGGGCCCTGGCCACCAGCCCACGGGACAGGGTCCCCCACCCTTCTCCAAGCCCGGTGCCCGCCCTTTGCAGCTGGGCGCTGCAGGGGGCGGAGCTGGCCGCGGCCCAGCTCGAGGGCGGGTGCGGTGGCGGGGACTGGAGGTCACCCCTCCCCCGTTGGCCGCTGGCGGCTGGAAGCCATCCAGCTGCTAGCCGGGTGTACCGTGGCGTGACCGCCGTCCCAAGCTCAGAGACTGCACTGATGAGTAGCCCAATCGCTCCCCTCCCGCCCCCATCTATCCCTTCCTGAGCTAGGCCTCAGTTTCCCCACCAATAAAATAGGGTCAATCACGTGACCTGCCTGATAAGTGTGTTCAGAAAATTCCTTCCACACTACACTACTCACAGGCTGACAAAAGTCACAGGGCGTGCTTTATTGATTTTGTGGGGTTGCGGATGGACCCCAGGACTCTCTGAATGCTAGTTAATCACTGTGCCACTAAGCTTCGCCCCCAGCCCAGACATGAAATCGTGTGTTTGCCCAGAACATTCTGAAGCCACTCTGGCTGTGGTAGTGCACACCTGTAGTCCCAGCACACTACAGTGATTCTGGGCTATGTGAGGCTGCCTCAAAAAAAAAAAAAAAAAGACAAAACAAAACAAATAACAGGAACAAAGGAAGAAAGGAAAGAGGGAAGGAAGGATGGAGGGAAAGAAAGGAACTCCCACAAGCCACTTAGCACTTGGCCTGGGACTTCATGGATGCTTCCACAGGGGCTGGGGAGATGTCTCCGTGGGTAAAGTGCTTGCCTATGAAAGCACCAGGACCCAACTTCAAATCCCAGCAGCTATGTAAAAGCTGGGCACAAAAGTTTATCTGTAAGCCCAATTCTGGGAGCTGGGCAGACCTCTGGGGCTTACTAGCCAGTGACCCTAGCTGGGTCTGTGAATTCCAGATTTAGTGAGACACCTGTCTGAAAAACTAAGTGGAGGACCAAGGAGAGGGTCCTCAGGTAAAGCTGCCCGCTGCCAAGCCCGATGGTGGAGGGGAGAACTGAGTCCTCAAAGTTGTCTTCTGACCTCTATGTGTGTGCCATGGCATAACACACCCACAAACATATATAGACACAAATAAATAAACAATTGGAACAAAACATAAGGCTAAGAGAAGCCAAACACAGTGACACACTTTGTGAGTTCAAGGCCAGCCTGGGCTACACAAAACGTGGAGAGAGACTGAGGAATACACATATATCACACATTTGTGCATGCAAACCCCCATTACGTGCACATACACAAACACACATACACATACACACAACACTCTTTCCCATGGACATGTTTCATTGTGTGTTCTCTTCTTCAACTGAGTGTCAGCTCCCCAGGGCAGAAACTGTGTCAGTTGTCACCACACCACACAGGTTGCATATAAAACTTATTTTAAATTAAAAACAAACAAACAAAACAAAACCTAGGATACATCAGTGCAGACAGAGGGATGGAGGGCCCAGCCCCAAAGATGTTGTGGTCACCCGTGGATGAGAGGGCAGGAGTGACTCCAGGAAGGCACAGACAGCTGAGGTGTGGGTGCTGGTCTTCTGGTGTGGCTTTCAGTCCTGTGGGGTCAGAGTTCAGCCTTCCGGAAGCTAGATCTGTTCAGGGAGTTCCTGGGGGCAGAAGGCAGGTTAGCCACAGGATCCCCAGCTCCACAGTCCTCCCCATCCTCCTCACCTGTCATCATGCAACCCTTCCAAGAATATGTTTAGACTCTCTCCTGTCTACCCTGATCCAATCAAAGGATTTCCCTTTTAATATAAATCACATTTACTTCTGTGCTATGTGTGTGCAAATGTAGACATCAGAAGACAGCTTGCTAGAGTCAGTTTTCTTTCCACCGTGTGCTTTCTGGGGATTCAAACTCAGGTATTCAAGCGCGGCTGCAATAACCTGTAGCTAATTAGCCATCTTGCTCTCCCCGATCAGAACCCACCACAGGGGGTTGGGATAATGTCTATTTTATAGGTGGGGAAAGATGCTCAGACAGCTAAATGAAGGCTGGGGATGTGGTTCAGTTGTAGGGCATTAACCTAGCGTGTAAAGTCCTAAGAGTCAATCTCCACCACAGAAGCGCCTGAGAGTATGAAAGATGGTTCAGTGGGCCAAGGCACTTACTACCAAGCCTACTGACCTGATCTCAATCCCTGGTACCCACATGTAGAAGAGAACTGACCTCACATATATACTGTGGCGTATAGATGCCCCATCCACTAAATCAAATGTGATAACAGAAAAACAGAATAGATAAAGTCACACAACCCTCCAGACACGGACTGTGCTGTGTATGTGCACATGCATGTGTGTTCGTGTTCATGTTCATGACAGCCTCCACAGCGGGCACCTGAGGCTGCTGGAGCTTGGTGCCAGCAGCTGGGGCAGGCGCTGGGTAAGCAGAGGCTGCAGAGCCTCCCGGAGGCGACTGTAGTGGCGCTCCAGTTCCCGGTGGTATTCCTTCTGGTCTGGCCCAATCAAGGCCTTGTTCTTTCTCAGTGCATCCTCACACCTGAGGGGTCAGGAGGATACTGCTTGGGGGCTGGCACTCAAGAGAGAGCAAGAACAGAGGCTGAATGTGGGGTGTGGGGACAAGCATGCAAAGGCCCACTATGGGGCCTGTGAATTTAAATAGGGAGTCAGCCTAGTGTAGCAGGGAAGTCAAGACTAGTATTTACATGGAGTCAGGCTGGGAATGGCAGTCAGGCAGTCAGGCTGGGTATAGCAGGGAGTCAGGCTGGGTATAGCAGGGAGTCAGGCTGGGTATAGCAGGGAGTCAGGCTGGGTATAGCAGGGAGGGAGGTGGCAGGGTTATAATAACCAGCGTACTTCTTGCAGAAATCCTTGAAGCAGAGCCGTAATTTGTTGTGATGTCGGAAGAGTTTGGGATCCTCTGGGATCTCTGCCAAAAATACCTGGGCCACTTCTAAGGGACCCTATTGGGTGAGAAGATTCATGAGGGTCTGAATGGCACCTGGAAGCCCAAGGTAGCCGGCATCCCCCAAGAAATGCCAGCCATGCCTGGTTCACAGTGGGTCCCACCGAGCCCTGCAGAACCATCTGTAGCATCTTGGCATCTGGAGGGTCCTGCTCAGTGGCAAAGGCCAGCTCCCGTGTCTTCTTCTGCATGTCCTCAATGGCCACCTCCACTGGTGTCAACACCGTCTGTGGGATGAGGGCGTGTACATATGGATATGTGTGCCTGTGTGGGGTGCATCTGCTGGGGCCTGCCATGTCCTATTCCAAGCCAGCCCAAGGAAGCTGGAACTGGGAAGGTGGGGTGGGGGTGGGGGTCCCAGGCCATGAATACTACTGAGGATTTGTGTTCCCTTAGGTGGATCTTGTCTCAGCTGGGACTTCAGTCTGGTTCTCACTCCATCTGCCCTTGAGTCTGGGGACTCAGATTTCCAGATCTCTCAGACCTGGTGGTAGAGGCTTGCATCTACAGTCTACAGCCTGGGGTCCTTATAGTTCCCAAACCCAATTCTGCTATTTCCCAAACCCTATCTCTTCCTAAAATTCACTGTCAGTGGGGTTCCTCTACCCTTTCCTCTCCACGTCCTGAAGTTCCTCCACCTTTTCCTCCCTGGACCTATTGAGGGTATTGAGTGCCCCTATCTCCCCTTTCCAGGTCTGGGGTCTCACCTCCTCACGGTGGCACACGCGGATGCGTGTCTTGATGTAGGGAAAGGCGTGCTCCGTGCTCAGCAGGGTCTTGCGTTTGTGCTGTTCTACCAGCCCCCCATGCGCTCGCCCATCTGGTGTGAACGGTGTGCAGAAGAGGAAGGCCCGCAGCCCGTAGTTGCGGTCGAAGTAGGTCACCCGGTCCTTGAGCTCGTAGGTGTCAAAGTGGGGCTCCACATAGGTTATCTGGATATAGGCCTGGGACACAAGGTCATGCATGAAGCTGGGAGCAGCCGGGGACCACCTGGCCCTACAGCTCCAGCCGGAGGCCCTGGTCCCTCTAGGCTTGAAGGTTTTGAATCTAGAGCCCCAGATCTCCCCGATTCTGGATGTACAGGAATCCCCTGAGAAACAGGACTTGCCCCAGCCCCCCTCCTCACAGTATTTGCAAACTCCTTCAATATAGGATCTTAGGGAGATGGTCAGGGGACCCACCTTCTGTGGGTCCAGCTTGGACTTGTCCACTGGGTTAGAATCTTTGATGATCTCTACCACATCGTCCCCGAACCTCTCCGTATAGAATTCCTAGAGACACGGGGTTGACTCGGGCCCCCACTGGGGCAGCCCCCACTATAACCCACATGGCCTGTCCCACCTCCCAGTTCCAGGACGTGCCTCCAGTCGGTGTGAGATCTCTGCCAGCTTTGTGATTGATGGTTCCTTGTACACAAACTCTTGTTCATCCAGGTCACCAAATCGTGCACCATAGAAGCCCACTCGGAAATATGTCCCAAATACACGCTGGTCTGAGGGAAGCCAGTGGTGTTGGCAAGGAGGCACCTGTGCAGGTGCCCTCCACCCCCACCACACTCAGGGTGGGATGTAGAAGACAAGATGGGAATGGGGAATCCTGAGAATCTCAGGAGCCTGTCTGAAGATCTTGGAAACTGTGAGATAGACTAGCATGCCAGGGGACCCAGATCACACCAAGACATGGTCACCATCATTTTGTGTATATGTATTGATGACTGAGCCCAGAGCCACCCACAAGCTAGGTAAGCACTTCATGGCTGAACTATTCCAGTTATCCAATGGAAGATTCTAGGTTGGGGCTCTATGGTTGAGTTAAGCTCCCAGTCATTTTCTTTCTCTCTCTCTCTTTTTTTCCTTCAATATAGGGTTTCTCTGTGTAACTTTGGAGACTGTTCTGTAGACCAGGCTGGCCTCACACTCACAGATATCCATCTGCCTATGCCTTCCAAGTGCTGGGATTAAAGGCGTGCACCACCACTGCCTGGTGTCATTTTCTTCTTAAAAATTATCTATCTATCTATCTATCTATCTATCTATCTATTTATTTGAGACAATGTCTCTCTCTACATAACCCTACTGACCTGGAACTCCCTCTGTAGTCCAGGCTGGCCTCAAATTCAGATATCTGTCTGCCTCTGCCTCCCCAGTGAAGGGATTATGGACATATGTCACCATCACCCGGCTTATTTTTTTACCTTTGAGACAGACAGTATTAATAAGTTGCCCAGGCTACTCCTGACCTGTCTATCCTCCCATCTCTGTTGTCTGAGCACCCGCAGGCAGGCAGCAGGCAGGCTTCCCCTGCCCTTTGTTCTGAGTCTTCTGTCAACTTCCTTGTTTAACATAAACTTGAGTTTCTGCTGCCTCTGTCAGTCCCATCACCTACATTCTAATACCAAACGAGGGGCTGTGTTGCTTACAACTGTACCTCAGTACCCATGGGACCCAGGCCCAGCAGATGCCCTAGTGTCTGAGTGACTAAGGGACACTCTGGGCTGCCTCCTGTCCTGGGATGCTGGGCTCTAGTTATAGGACATTCTTCTCTGTGTCCCTAGCCCTAAATGTGGAAGGAAGCCCCTTTACCCAGAGAAACCATTCCCTAACCCTTGGGGGAGGAGGTGGGGTCATTTCAAATTCACTCACCAGTGCAGATCCAGACAGGGTGGGGCAGACATGGTGAGGCCAGAAACAGGGATGGAGGGATGGTGGACAGAGAGACACAGTCATTGGAGAGATCAAAGGTCACAGTTTAGAGTTACCCCCTCCCAGGGTCCTGGTTGTACCACCTTATGAGAATCATTCTCTGGAGGGTTAGGGAGACCAAGGATGCAGGGAAGGCGGGGACCTACCCACCCCACTGGCCTCCACCCAGCCTGCCAGGCTCTGGGTTCCTGCCATCTTTGGCCAGAAAATTCTCCCTCAACTGAGAGATGCCTAAAAATAGAAAGGAGGAAGGATTGGGGGGGTGGGGGGGGCATGAGCCCTTAACAAGAGATGAGGAGCAGTGATCCTCTGCAAAGCTGTGCGTTGGGGAGACTGAGATGGAGAGAGTGCGAGGGAACCCTAAGACAGAGCTGGTGAGGGGCAGAGGAAAGGGATGAGACAGAGGGAAAGAGATAGTCCCCTTCTTCTCCACCCCCACCCCTGGTGGTAACTGAGCTGGCCCTACCCGAGGGAGGGGTGTCTCTGGAGAGTTCCCAGCTGGGTGACTCACAGGCTGCCCTTGAGACTGGGGGGAGGCATTTGGGGGAAGGGAGTACTAGGGGGCTGTGCGTCATCACCCACTAGGCCCAGACCCCTGCGGAGAGTGGCATGCTGTTCTGCTGCCCCCTAGTGTTCACTGACCAATGTTCACCAGGGATCATGGTCCCCTCAGACTCACCTCCCAGCCAGAGCTCTGTGGGAAAAGAGGAGGCAAGGTTACCAGAGGGAAGGGGGGCAAGGAGAGGGACGCAGAGTCCTAGATCCAGGCCTGGCAAGAGCTCTAAGAGGGCCTAGCACCAAGCCTATGCTGGGAGGGACCCTGGGCCCACCTGGTGCATTATCTTGGTGAAGGCCTCCTGCAGTTTCCCGTGCACCGCGGCCAGCTTCTTGTAGTCTCTGTGGGCTTCGAGAATGGGGATGAGGTTTTTGTAGACTTCATTCACTGCTTCATACAAACCACCCTGGAGAACAGAAGAAGTGAGGTAAGGATTTCCCAAGACCCGCTATGTCCATATCCCAGCCTGTCCACTCACCACCTTGACAACTCCTATCCCAGAAAGGGCCCCACTGCAGTCTTCACCTCTTCTCACAAACGTTTACCAAGGCCCAAAAGCTGTGGCTATCTGTACTGGCTCCTCCTTGCAGGTAAGAGAGGAAGTTTTTGCTGTGGTAGTGCTATGGATGAAGCCCAGGGTTTCTGAGCATGCTAGGCAAACACTTGCTCTACACCACCTTGAATACAGTTTGTTTAAAAAAAAAAATAGAGCTAGCACACCTTTAAGCCCAGCACTCTGAAAACAGAGGCAGGCTGATCTCTGTGAGTTCAAGACCAGCCTGTTCTACAGAGCTAGTTTTAGGATAGTCAGGGCTACACAAAGAAACCCTGTCTCAAAAACCAAGAAAAATAAAATAACAATAAAACACAAGGTGCTGGAGTGATGGCTCAGTGGCTAAAAGCATTGACTGCTATTCCAGAGGTTCTGAGTTCAATTCCCAGCATACACATGGTGACTAACAACCATCTATAGTGGGATCTGATGCCCTCTTCTGGCATGAAGACCATAGAGCACTCACACACATAAATAAATCTTAAAAAAAAAAAAAAAGCTGGACAGCAGTGGTGCATGACTTTAGTCCCAGCACTTGTGAGGCAGAAGCAGGTAGATCTCTGAGTTTGAGGCCAGTCTGGTCTACAGAGCAAGTTCCAGGACAGTCAGGGATACACAGAAAAACCCTGTCTAAACAAAACAAACAAATCAGGTCTGGAGAGATGGCTTCAGTGGTTAAGAGCACTGGTTACTCTTGCAGAGGACCTGGGTTTGGTTCCTGCTCCCATTTAGCAGCTCATAGCCAGTCCCAGGGGATCTGACACCCTCTTCTAAGGTCCATAGGCACCAGGCACACAGATGGTGCCCACACATACATTCAGGCAGACACTCATACACATTAATAAATCTCTTTTTTTTAGAGATGAGGACCAAACCCAGGCCCCTGTGCTTGCCCCCAATCCCAATCTTTTTTTTTTTTTTAAATTAAAGCATCCAGGAATAAACTGGAGCACCAAGGGTGTGTGTGGTGAGCCCCTCACTTGCAGAGCCATCTAACGGACCCCAATTTGCTTTTTGGCTTTGTTGGATTTTTTTTTTTTTTTTTTTGAAGGGATCCTGGGAAGCACAGGCTGATTTTGTAGCTAAGGATGACCATGAATTCCTGATCCTCTTGCCTCCACCTCCCAAGTGCTGGGATGACTGTGCACTGCCATATCCAGCTTTCCCTGGATATCTTTTTCAATCACCCTCCACTATATGCTTTGAGAAAGGGTCTCTGCTAAACTGCTGACCAGAGGGCCCCATGAGTCTTCCCATCTCGCCTCCTCAGAGCTAGGGTGATAGGACAGACTACCAAGCTTGGCTTTTACCCTTTTACTCTCCCTACAGAGGGTGACTGACTGATTCATATTGAGACAGGGTGTACTGGATGGCTTTTTGTGTCAACTTGACACAAGCTAGAGTCATCAGAGAGGACAGAGCCTCACTGAGGAAATGCCTGCATGAGATCCAGATGTTAGGCATTTTCTCAATTAGCGATCAGTGGTGGAGGGCCCAACACACTGTGTGAGGTTCTATTCATGGGCTGGTGGTCCTGGGTTCTACAAGAAAGCAGGCTGAGCAAGCCATGGGAAGCAAGCCAGTAAGCAGCACTCCTTCATGCATCAACTCCTGCCTCCAGGTACCAGCCCTGCTTGAGTTCCTGTCCTGACTTCCTCTAATGGTAGACTATGACCTAGAAGTGTAAGTAAGTCAAACAAACCCTTTTCTCCCCAACTTGCTCTTTTGGTCGTGGTGTTCTGTCCCTAAGACACAAGGTCTCACTGTGTAGCCCTGGCTGGCCTAGAGCTCCTTATGTAGCCTGGCTGGCTTCAAAAATCAGAGATCCACTTGCTTCTGCCTCCCAAGTGCTGGAGCTACAGTCCTGCACCACTGCTGCCCAGCTTATTTTTTTTTTAAAGATTTATTTATTTTATGTATGTGAGTGCTCTGTGACCTTGTACTCAAATGGAGATTGATTTTCTTCTATGTCCCAAGTGCTGGTATTAAAGGTATACGCCATGACACCCAGCTGATTTACTTCAGTATGGATATGTGTGGGTGCTGTGTGTGGGTATGTACAGGTGCTCTTAGCCAGAGTCCTGGGAGCTAGAGTTTCAGGCAGTTGTGAGCTGCCCAACATGGTGCTGGGAACTGAACTCCAGTCCTCTGCAACAGCAGCATAGGCCGAGCCACCTCTCCAGTCCCTACCTGGCTTTTGATAAGATGTAGTTCTTGGGGGATCTGAATTCAAGTTCTCTTGTGGGACTTGCACACTCTTTACCAGCTGAGCCATGCCCCATAAACTGCTGTTTCCACCTTCCACGCCTGAAGGTGACAGAGGTCTCCCAAGGCCAGACTGTCAACATCATCCCACCCGACCCCATGCCCCAGACCTCCAGGCTCAAGTGCCTCCTCCCAGCTGGAGTTCTTTAGTCAGGTTCTGTCCACACTTGACCTCCTCCCTCAGTCTCTTCAAAGATACCAGTAAAGTGATTAACAATGACACAGAAGAAAAAGCCCATTTAGGGGCAGGCCTGGAGGCACAGGCTTTGACCAAAGCATCCTGGAAGCAGAGGCAGTTGGATCTCTGTGAGTTTGAGGCCAGCTGGGTCTATTAAGTGAGTTCCAACCTGGCAAGGGCTACATAAATGAGACCTTGTCTTAATAAATAGGTATCCCTTTAGAAGGGCTGGGCCATGTCTCACCTTAGAGAGCTGACCAGAACCTCCCAGTGAGGGGCTGGGGGATGCCACAGTGATAGAGCCCCTCCTTAGCATCTCCTAGTGAGGATATGGGGGTATGGCTCAGTGTTAGAGCTTCTGGCTAGAATTCCCTAGTAAGGAACTTGGGGTGTGGCTCAGGGGTAGAGTAACCTCTTAGCTTCTGCAAGACTGGGTTTATTTCCAGCACTACACACATACAAATCATATCTCCAGAGAAAACTCAGTTTAAGGCTAAGCACTGTGACTCATACCTAAAATCCCAGTACTGGGGAGGTAGAGGCAGATGGATCTCTATGAGTTCAAGGCCAGCATGGTTTCCATGTAGAGTTCTAGAACAACCAAGGCCACATAGTGAGAACTTGTGTGATGGCTTGCATGATAATGTCCCCATAGATGCATTTATTTGACTATTTGGTCACTAGTTGGTGGAACTATTTTGGAAGGATTAGGAGGTTTGGCCTTGTTGGAGGAGGTGTGTCACTGGGGGTGGGCTTTAATGTTTCAAAAGCCCATGGCTTTTCCAGTCTCTCCTGATCTGAGTTCTCAACTGCTGCTCCACTGCCCTGCCTGTCTGCTGCTGCCATGCTCCCCTCCATGATGGCCATGAACTCACTCTCTGAAACTGTAAGCCAGCCCCCAATTAAATTCTTTCTTTTATAAGCTGCCTTGGGCATGGTGTCTGTTTACAGCAATAGAAAAGTAACTAAGATACCCTGTCTCACAAAACTAAAAGAAAACCAGACTTAACTTCCATTTTTCCAACGACGACAAAACAAAATAAAATAGAAAACAAGCAAACAACCCCCCCTCTCCCAGGAACTCTAGGTAAAATAACACAGCATGGCACAGCCGGTCCCACAGGGGCAGGAGAGCCAGTCCTGTGCTGAGTACACCAGAGCCCAAACAGAGCAGACAGATGGGGCTCTCTTCAACCACGGAGAGTGAGACACTTAGGCAGCAAGGGCTGTGATGCATAAGTGTCATAGCCTCACTGGAAGTACAGGAGGAGAGAGTTCAAGACCAGCCCAGGCTGTTTTAAAAACAGCAATGCTTTAATCCCAGCACTCGGGAGGCAGAGGCAGGCAGATCTTTGTGAGTTCAAGGCCAGCCTGGTCTACAGAGTTTCCAGGGTGGACAGGGCTGTTACGCAGAGAAACCCTGTCAAAAACAAAACAAAACAAAACAAAAAACCCAAACCAAACAACCCCCCCCCAAAAAAACCCCAAAACCAAACAACAAATCCCAAAACTGGGCCTGGGAGCTTTGGGGCCAGAGAGCCTGCCATATGAAACAGTCAAGAGACTGTGTCTCAGACAAGGTAGGTAAGGGTCAACACAAGATGCTGTCTCCTGATCTATATAGGTCTACAGTGGCATGTGCATGCTTGCACACACACAAAAGAAGACCCCACACACACACACACACACACACACACACACACACACACACACAGCATACACATGTGTGCATGTGTACAGAGATCAAAACAAAAAACAAAAACCATGCCAGGCATGGCGGTATACATCTGTGCTTCTAGTACTTCAGAGGCAGAGCCAGGAGGAGATACAAGTTTGAGGCCAGTCTGGTCTACAAAGAAGTTCTAGGGCAGCTTGAGTTACATATTGAGATACTTTCACAAAACCAACAACCACCACAAAAATACAAGGGTCACTGACATGGCTCAGCCCATAATCTGGTTAGCTGTTTTGTTTCTGTCAATTTGACACAAGTTAAGGCACCTTGAGAAGAAGGCACCTAAGATTGAGAAAATGCCTCCTTGGGACTCTTTCTTGATTAATGATTGACGTGGAAGGCAGTGCCCCACTGGGCAGGAGGCCCTGGGTGCTATAAGAAAACTGGCAAAGAAGGAGCAAGCCAGTAAGCAGCACCCCACATCTATACTTCAGTTCTACCTCCAGGTTCCTGACTTTCCTCAGTGATGGACTGTTACCTGGAAATGAAAGGTGAAACAAACCCTTTCATCTCCAAGTTGCTTTTGGTCATGGTGTTCACTACAGCAACAGAAAGCAAACTAGAACAGTAGGTATAGGCGCCTCCCAGTAAGCCCGATGATTTGAGTTCAATCCCTGGAATTCACATAATAGAAAGAGAGAACTGACTCCAGGCCCTCTGACCACACATCACACACACACACACACACACACACACACACACACACACGTATGCACAGGAATGCTGTAGTAAATGTAATAAAGAAAGGTAGGATGTAGTTCAATGTGTAGAGTGTTTTGGCAGCATGTATGAAGCCCTGGGTTCTACCCAATCACTACTGAAGAGGAGAAGTGGTAACGGGTTTTCCTGACTTGATGGTTTTAGATTCAGAGACTCAGCAGCAGTCTCTCTGGACAATCCTACAGTGGGCTCTGTGCTGTTGCAAGCGTGCTAAAGCCTGCAGAGTATGTATATAACCCAGACTAATTCTGGCTGTGAACTCTGGACTGTGGGGGACAATGTTGTGTCTGTCAATGGAGCTTCATCGATTGGGACCAACATACAACCCCACATGGGGTGTTGACAATGGGGGAGGCTGTGTATATTGGGGAAGAGGATATGCATGCAAACCAGGCCTGATGGCCACTACTGCAAGCCTGATGGCCTGGAGGTGGAGGCAGAAGGATCAAAAGTTCAAGGCCCTCCCCCACTAAATAGGGGTTTGAGGAATGCTTGGGCTACGTGAGCCAGAGCACGCCAAGTGCCCCACCCCCAATAAATAAATATAATTTTTTAAGGGAAAATAAAATAGGTGTGTGTCCATTCTGGGAAATAGTCCTATCACCAAACATCCCATGCTACTAGGCCGTGCTCCACCACTAAGTGATATTCCACCCTAAGATCTTCATGGGAGAAATCTGCACTGCCGTGCTGTGTGCAGGCCCCGTGGACAGGGCCAGTGTGCTGAGTGTCCACAGAAGCTTTCCTAGGTGAGGGTGCTGGGAGACACGGTGGGCTTAGGGCCAATAGTAAGGATCTGCATGAAGCCAGAGCTTCCCAGATTTCATTAAGAAAAGGGCTCTTCCAAATCTTGTTTAAATGCAGGGCTGGTGTCGTTTAGTGATTTGATACTTTATATTATTTTTGTGCTAGAGATGGAGCCCAGGGCCTTGTGCTCTCTAGGCAAGTGCTCTGCCACTATGCCGCACCATGAGCCCCTTTGTTCTTTTGTTTGAGAAAGGGTCTCATGTAACCCAGGCTAACTTCAAACTCACTGCTCAGCCTCAAGAGGTCCTGAACCCTCATCCCTCCCCCACCTCCCAAGTTGCTGGGACAACAGATGTGCAGCCTCTCACTCAGTTGATACAGTGCTGGGATGGAACTCAGAGCCTCACAGGGCTAAACTGCTCCCCTGCGCTGACCCCCAGCTCCTGTCTTAACTGGTTTTATTTTCACCCCAGAGTTGAGTAACACAGCATACCAGAGAACAGAGTAGCTGTCCAGGAAGGCCCAAGCAGAGGAGGCTGGCATTACAGCCAGAATAAGGCTGGAAAAAGCAAGCAGGAACAAAAACCCTTTCTTTTATGTGCACTTGAAAGTTCTAGAACTAATAAAATTATAAATGCAGGCCTATTGAGAGGTTTCATGAAGAGAAAGGCAGGTTGTGGGTCCCATGAGCCCACATTGGCTTGAACTTCTGACCCTGCCTGTGCCTTCCCAGTGCTGGCATGAGAGGTGTGTGCCACCATGCTAGGTTTATCCAGTTCTAGGGATGGAGCCCAGGGCTTCAAGCAGGCTAGGCCAGCGCTCTCCCAACTGAGCCACACCCTAGCCCTTTGCTGGGATTTATGTGCCTGTGTACACACGTGTGTGCACACGTGGAGGCCAGAGGTTTGTATCAGGAGTTTTTCCCTGTTGCTTTCCACCTTATTTTCTGAAACAGGGTCTCTCACTGAACCTAGAGCTTATCATCTGAGGTAGACTAGCTGGCCATCAAGCCCTCAGAATCTTGAGATTTGCTCTCAACTCTGGGCTATAGGCTTTTACCATCATACCTGGCTTTTTATTGGAGATCCAAACTCATGTTTGGCCAACTGAGCCACCTCCTAGCCCCACATTCTTAACATTAATGGTTTCTGTCCCCCAGCCCACCTCCTCTCAGAGGCCTCACTCACTCATGCTAGGCAAGCATTCTAACACTGCCATGGAGCTAAAGCCCCAGTTTTCTTTCTTTCTTTCTTTCTTTCTTTCTTTCTTTCTTTCTTTCTTTCTTTCTTTCTTCCTGCCTTCCTTCCTTCCTTCCTTCCTTCCTTCCTTTCTTGTTTTGACCTCCCACCCCTTTCTTTCTTTACTCAGGGACTCCCATATCCCAGAATGGCTTAGAACTTGCTATGTAGTAGAGGATGGCTTTGAACTTCTGATCCTCCTGCCTCTACCCACTGAGTGCTGGAATCATAGGCGTGCGTCATCATACTTGGTTTATGGGGTGCTGGGGATGGAACCCAGGGCTTTGTGCATGCTAGAGCCCTAGCCCCCTAATTTTGTTTTGTTTGGAGAAAAATGGCTCTGTAGTTCATGCTAGCCTTAAATTCCAATCCTACTGCCTCAGCATCCCAAATGCTGGGCTCACAGGCCTGCACTATCATTCCTGCTTCTGACTTCCTAAATCCCTGGCCAGGAAATCATTTGGTGAGCAGTCTGACACCATTGTCCTAGGTCTCACCATAGTGAAGTAGGCCGCCGCCTGCTCCAGCAGCCCCACCAGACCCAGTTCTGTGAAGTTCTTCCCAGAGCAGAAGCCCTCCTCATCTGGAGACAGGATGTCATCAGAGATGGCAGACTCCTCCAGCACATTGGATGAGACATTCTGGGGAGGGCAGGAGGTGGTGTCAGGCCCAGTGTCAACCCAAATGGGTCTTCCTCTACCTCCCAGTGATCCTTACCTGGAAGGAGACACAGCCCACAGGCAGGTGGCGACTGTCCTCGAGGAGGGCAAGGTATTCAGCCACCAGCGCAGCTGCATGTACCATGCACTGGGCAGCCTCTGCATGGTTGCCCAGCTCTGCATGTTTGCCAGCCATGTTCTGCAGCCATGTCAACCTCAGGTCTGGAGAACCTTGGTACCCCCGGGCAATCCTAGGGTCCAGGACAGCAGGGTAATGACTGCCTGTCTGCTTGTCTGGCCCCGATGCTCACCTACTGTGTGTCCCTTTAACCATCCCTTTATTGCTTGGCCATTGCCTGCCCCACTCACTCAGCCCCTCTCTTGTTCATCCTTTTACTCATCCTCATAACCCTGTCTAACTCACTTTTCTTTTTTTCATTTTGAGACAGGGGCTCAGGTGGCCCAGGATGGCCTAGAACTTGCTATGTAGCTGAGGCTGGCTTTGAACTTTTGATCCTCCTGCCACTTGAGTGCTGGGATCACAGGTATGTGCCACCGTGCCCAGTTTATGAGGTGCTGGGGATGAAGTGTCTATGTTTTTATTTATTTTTTTATTTTTTGTTGTTTTGTTGACACAGGGGCTCATGTAGCCCAGGCTGGACACCTGCACTGGTTAGGTTTATTTTTAATAATTTATTTATTTTATGTGCATTGGTATTTTGCCTGTACGTATGTCTGTGTGAGGGTGTTGGATCCTGGAGTTATAGACAGTTGTGAGCTGCCATGTGGGTGCTGGGAATTGAACTTGGGTCCTCTGGAAAAGCAGTCAGTACTCTCAACTGCTGAGCCATCTCTCCAGCCCCCTGCTTAGTTCCTTTTGTCAACCTGGCACAGCTGGGGTCATTGGGAAGAACTTGAATGGAGAGAATGTGTCCATCAGATTAGACTGTAGACACGTCTGTGGGGTGTGGTACTAATTAATGATTGATGGCTCATCCCACTCTGGGTAATGACACCTCTGGGCAGGTGTTCCTGGGTTGTATAAGGAAGCTGTCTGAGCAAGCCATGGAGAGCAAGCCAGTGAGCAGTGTTCCTCCACGGCCTCTGCGTGCTTCCTGCCCTGACTTCCCTCAATGACAGAAGCCAAATAAACCCTTTTCTCCCCAAATTGTTTTTGGTCATGGTGTTTATCACAGCAACAGACAACAGTATGCACCACTATACCCAGTGTAAGTGGTGCTGGAGATGGGACCCAGGGCCTCATGTGTGTTTTGGGGGGGGTGTCTACCAAATGAGTTATATTCATGGCCACTACTTGTCTTTTTCACTTTTACTTATTGTGGGACCTGGTTTCTTCCTCTTGTCTGCCTGGATTCCTCACCACAAGGTGAGTGGCTTCAGTGTGCCATAAGCCCCTGCTGCACTGTGGAGCCCTCTCACAGCCCAGAGCTATGGGGCCCACTGACTATACAACAAAATCTCTAAAACCATTAGCTAAAATAAACCGTTCCCCTCTCTCTTTTTGTACATTTATTTTCTATGTGTGTGTCATATGTGTGTGGAGAGGAGGGCACATGTGTTACATAGGACACATGAGGAGGTTTGAGGACAACCTGAGGGAACTGGCTCTCTCCTGCAGCCATGTGGGCCCTGGGGATCGAACTCAAGTCATCAGTCTTGGTAGCAGGCACCTTTACTATCTGAGCCAATTTGCTGGCCCAACCTCTTCTCTTTGTAAGATGATTATCTTGGGTGTGTGTTCTAGTACTGAAGAGCGGACATACATGTATCCTGTATCCTGTCTGTCTGTCCCGTCCTTTGACTTGTCTACTGGCACTCGCTCCTCCTCACCTGTACATGAGGTCCATGAGCATCTCGGGGTCCTCCTGGTGCTCCTTCATCTTCACTGTGTCTGTCAGGATCATGTGCAGGTTGAACATGAGGTCCTGAACCTGGAGCAGGTGAATGTCCAGGGGTCAGCAAGGGCAATGGGGTCAGGATGAAGATGGGAGAGAAGGCTGTGGAGATGGCTCAGTGGGTAACATGCTTGCCGTGCAAGCATAATGACCTGAGTTTGATCCCCAGCACCCAGGTAAAAAGCCAGGCATAGTAATGCTTGACTGTAGCCCTTGTGTTGGGGGAGTGGGGGCAGAGACGGCATCTGTGACTGGCCTGTGTAGCTGAATCAGTGAGACACTGTCTCTAAAAATAAAAATAAGGGGCAATTGTGCATGGTGGCACATGCCTTTAACTCCAGCACTTGTGAGGCAGAGAAGGCCCCTCTGTGTTCGGTTGAAGCTAGCCTGGTCTACATAGCAAGGTCCAGGACAGCCTGAGGTACCCAGTGGAATCCATCTGAAAAAAAAGTCCCTGCAAAAAAACCACCACCACAACAAAATAAGGTGGAGAGAGAGAGAGAGAAAGAGAGAGAGAGAGAGAGAGAGAGAGAGAGAGAGAGAGAGAGAAAGACATCCCCCTGTTGACCTCTGGCCTCCACCCACATACATGCACACTCACATACAAACACAGTGAGCAGGGTGAAAGAGAAAGCAGGGCAGGCTAGGTGTGCACACAGGTACACATGCACACCTTGTAGTCCCAGTGCTGGGAGGCAGGGCCAGGACCACAGCCACAAGTCAAAAGTCAGCCTGGCTACATAATGAGTTCCAGGTCAGCCTAGGCTAAGGCTGAGACATCCAAAAGAAGACAGAGAAGTTGGAGTGGTGGAGCATACCAGTTACCCAGAACATGGGAGGCAGGGGCAGGAGGGCCGGGGTTCAAGGCCAGCCTCAGCTACATAATGAGATCTAGGCCTTCTAGACGAGGGGAGGGAGGAGAAGAGAGATGGGGAGGGAGAAAACTTATCTCAAAAAACAGAACAAAAGGCTTGTCTTGGTGGATCAAGCATATAATCCCAGCACTCAGGTAGCAGAGGCAGGAAGATGGCTGTGAGTTTGAGGCCATCCTGGGATATAGAGTGAGACTGTGTCTCATTACACCAAAGTTCAAATATAAATACCAAAAACAAATAAACCAAAAAGACACAGGGGCAAACCTACACGTTGTCCACAGTGGGAGGAGGGGAACCAGAGGCATCACCTGCTCAGCGAAGGTGCTGTCCCTCAGCCCTATGTCCTCCTCTGCGTAGGTCAGGATGGTCTTGAGGGACCTTCTCAAGTGCTCTTCACTGAAGTTCTGAGCTGTCCCCACAAGGGATGACAGGGACATGGTCACCAGCATCTTCACACGGGCAAAGTTCTGATGGAACAGGGAGGCAGCCAGTGTTGCCCTGAGAGCCTCAGGTCCCCAGCAACCCATACCAGGGTCCCTTAACCCTGCTGTCTTGACAGTTGCCATATGGGTTACCACTCCCCACCCACCTGTCTGTCCCACACTTCCCACACTCTGACCCCTCCCCCTGGCCTGACAACTAGATGATACTTGCTGATCACCCCTCTGTCCTATGGAAATGCTACCCCCAGTTGGAGCCCTGGACCTGGCCTCCCATACATGGCCAATCTCGAAGTTCTGGCGCATAAGCAGGTAGAGCGAGGCGCTGGCGTGCGTGCGAATGGAACTGATGCGGCTGCCACAGTGTCGCAGAAGCCTCAGGCAGAGGTCAGCACAAAGCTCCGTATCTTCCTCGAAAAGCAGCTCCGGGAACTGCCCCCAGGACCCCAGAAAGATACTGTTCAGTCCATTCTGATGTGAGCAAAGGATTTCCTGTGTCTACCTCCTAAAGCTGGGATGACAGGTATGTATTAACTCTGCACAGCTATTTATATTTTTGGAAGACATTTTTTTGGTTGTTCTTTTTTTGAAACAGTATCCTAGGCAGTCTGGGCTGGCCTTGAACTTACTATCTTGCCAAAGATGACCTGGAACTTCTAATTCTCTTGTCTCTACTTCCCAAGAGTTGGGATGACAGACAGGTGACAGCCACCATTCCAGGTTTATTCCTCAGTTCAGAAATGCAGTTGTGGTATCCATGAAATTGCCCAGCACACAGTAGGTGCTTAATATATGAGCTATTACTATCTCTATAAATAGTGGCTGCTGTTTAGGAATACTCACCTTGGAAACCAGTGCTCGCTGGGTGGCTAGGCCGTGCTGCAGGAAGAGGGCACTCTGGGCGCTGCCTAGACTGTACAGAACGACTTTCAGCACGGCACCCAGGATGCTCTCACGGGCCTCCGACAGCATCACCGTCTTCATGGAGGGGATTAGAAATTCAGGGGTTAAGAGATAAGGATGGTTACCTATAACCATCTGGGCAGCTGAGGGATTGTGGGGTCAGAGATCCTGGACCACCATGAAGGAGTGAGAGTTCTGGACAGACACTGGATCAAGTCATACCTGCACAATGATCTCCAGCATGTCCAGAACCACAAGGCTGGCCTCTGTAGCCAGATTTCCATCCACCAGGGCTTCATGCTCCATTTCATCCTTGGGCCTGGAGAGCAGGGGAGACCTTGTGAGGTCACTTGGAGTCAGACCATGTGACACAGCAGAGGCTTCTGCCACCCTTGGCTGTCCTTGGAAGGAGATGCTCTCTAGAAATTGGTCTAAACCAAGGAAATTCCTTTTCTACATGTCATGATCTTAGTGTGTTCCCAAAAGTTCTTGTGTTGGAAGGTTGGTCCTCAGCTTGTTACAAGATGGAGAGCAGGGGCATGGTGTGGCTTCCTGGTAGAGCCCCTGCCTAGAATTCCCCAGTAGGTTAGCAGCTGGAGCGTAACACTGGTGAGATCTAGGGTTTGATCCCTAGACCCACTTAAAGAGATAAAAAAGAGGTAGGGACTAAATAGACAGTTTTTGGTTATTAGGAGTGAGCCCTAAGAAGGGATTAAGGTTGGTCTCTGGTTTTTGTGTTTTTTGTTTTGTTTTGTTTTGTTTTTGAGATAGGGTTCACCGTATGGCCTTGAACTCACTGTTTATACTGAGATTACAGGCATACACAACTACAGCCCATAAGAAAACACTTCTGTTTTAAAATGGCCTGCCTCAGGCAGCTTTTCATGGTCATGAGAGAGAGAGATTCATCTTTGAAACCTACTTGTCCACACGGTCTGAGGTCTGTCTCCAGTGTGTGACACTCTTACGCCATCGAACATTCTCTTGGTTTCCAAATGGACTTCTCTCTGCCATGCACAAATGTATGTCCATAGGTATATGGAGAGGGAAAGACATGTAAGCACAGGGAAACATACACATTCAGGGAGACATTTATGTAGGATTATGCAAAGTGACACACGTAAAGACAAAACTTGCCCAGCAGACACCACCACTAGACCCAAATGAGCAGTGGGGGCAGATGGGAATCACATACACCCACGTAGAGAGCAGTGACACAGGAACTTTCGTTTTCCTCTCCTGAGACAAGGTCTCATATATAGCCGAGGCCTGGCCTTGACCTCCTCTCTTCCCTCCCCCGTCTCCTGAGTGCTGGCATTGCAGCTGTGCACCATCCCGCCACCTCTCCACCGTCAACTCACCTCTACTCCGCCGCACCATCTCCTGTCGCGCCCCGATGGTGCCCAGGATGGCCTCCTCTAGCCGGGCTTTCATGTCCAGTGACTTCTTGAATGTGAGGCTGTTGATCCGCTCAAATGCCTTCTTTCCCTGGGAAAGCAGAGAACTGGGGTGAGATGTGTTCCTTCTGCTAAGACCCAAGGTCACCTTGTCTTTCTGCTCAGGGCAAGCTCTATCATCAGGGCCCTCTGCCAGAAGACACAGCACAGCCCCTCTCTCCAAAGTCTCACCACCTCCAAATCCTCCTCCTCCCTTCCCCGCCCTCCTCCTCCTCCCTTCCCCACCTAAAAACCATGCTACCAAACTCCTGACAGCTTTCCACCTTCTCGTTCCTCCTTCCTTTCCTCTCTAACTTTCTCATTGTAAAGACAGAGCCTCACATAGTCCAAGCTGGTCTTGAACTCACTATGTAGCCAAGGATGATCTCAACCTTTTGAATCTGCCCTTTCACCCAAGTCCTGGGATGACAGGTTTATGTGACCTTCCCTCCTGTGCCACCCTCCTCATTGTCATTCATCCTGGGGATGGATAGACCTTATCCATGCTAGTCAAGCTCTCTGTCTGACCACACCCCCAGCGCAGTATTCTATTCATGAAGTCATGTGTCGCCTGACTCCAAAGCTGAGGACAGACACAGTCTACCTTTCATCCTCAGTCCCTAGAAGCCCATGCACAGGCAGTGTACCCCTTCCCACCCACCTCACCCAGCCCCTCACACCTTGTACTCAAAGGCAGCCAGACAGAGGTAGAGGAGGTCCAGGAGGCGTCCCAGCTGGGGCAGGGCCAGGTCGGCAGCCCAGCGCTGCAGAAGGGCTGGCTCTGCATTTTTCAAGACCCACAGCACACACACCAACAAAGTCCGGCTGGATTCAGCAGAGAGGGGACAGCCTGAGCGAGCTGCCTGGGTGCAGAGAGGGCGTAGAATCAATTTTACTTTCCTTATACAAGGTGAACTGTGGCCAACTGTACCTCATGACATGACATCCTTTTTGTTTTGCTGGAAACACAGGCTAGTGTCAAACTTACAACACAGTCTGAGCTTTTGATTCTCCTGCCTCTACCTCCCTAGGGCTTAGATCAGAGGTTCTCACCACTACACGCAGCTTATGTGGTGCCGCCTCATGGATGCTGGACGCAAGCACTCTACCAACTGAGCCTCATCCCCAGCCAACAACATGAAAGGCTCTATGGGGATGAGCCTCAGACTTACTGTTGAAGGTCCCTGGGAAATGCTGGTGCGAGAGCCAGGAGCCAGAGGCCCCCCAGCAATGGCCATGGCCACTGATGGGTTGATGGTGCCTCCAATGTCACCTTCACCTTCTGTGTCTGAGTCCAGCATGGAAGCCAGTCTTGATCGCTGCCCTGAACCCTCTAGGGGCAGAATAGGAGATGAGAAGAAAGGGGCATTGGTAAGCACCTTGCTTTAGCCAGGAGGAGCACTCAAGAGGCAGAGGCAAAAATATCTCTGAGTTCGAGGCCAGCCTAATAGTCTACAGAATTTGCTTTCATTACAAATTTCCAGTATTCTCTGACTTCAGCCACCTCTGACCAGGTCAGGTCAATAGTTGCCTATTGCTCAAATTTAATCTTTGTACTTAAAATATGGCTACTCTAGCCACAGCTTTATAGTTAACACTTGGACACATAACTTGAGGATTGGGCCACAGCTCGGTCAGTGTGTGTCTCAGCCTCCTGAACACTGGGTTGCATACATGGTGTGTGCCAGCCATGGTAGACTGGACCTAAGTAAAATTCCAGCCACACCCAGCTGGGTGTGGTCCCAGCTTGATGAAGGTGGTCAGAGCTACTATCTTCCCAGACACTAAAAGGAGCACCTCCCTGGAGAAGACAACACTGCTCTGGACTGTGGTTCTCATACACAATCTCCAAAGACAACACAAAATTATAAGACAAGTGGCAAGACAGGAAAATATGGCAAGTGACCAAGACATTCAAAGCAGACACAGAGAAGAGTAAATGTCCGTTAGCAATAAAAGCCAGAGAAGGACAAAAATGAGTCAAAGATGAAGAATTCCAGAATAAAACCAGTGAGATGCTGTGTCTGAGAACCCACGTTTGATCTCCAGGACCATGTACTGAAAGGAGAGAACTGTCTCACATATTGTCCTCTGACTTCCATATGTTCATGTATGTCTACTAACATACACAGAAAACAAATAAAAAAATAAAAATAGGGAGCTGGAGATATGGCTCAGTGGTTAAGAGCACTGGCTGCTGCTGGACATGGTAGCGCATGCCTTTAATCCCAGCCTTCGGGAGGCAGAGGCAGGAGGATCTCTGAGTTCAAGATCTGGTCTAAATGGCAAGTTCCTGGACAGCCAGGACTACATAAAGAGTGGTCTCAAAAACCAAAATAAATAAACAAGTAAATAAAACAGCACTGGCTGCTCTTCCAAAGGACTCAGGTTCAATTCCCAGCACTCACATAGCAATTCACAACTGTATATAACTCAAATTCCAGGGTTCTGACATCCTCTAGCCTCTGTGGGCCAGATATATATACATACATACATACATACATACATACATACATACATACATACATACACACGGTACACATACCTACACCCAGACAAACATTCCTACACATGAAACAATATAAAAGATGACAAAAATAAATAAAATTAAAATGTATGAAAAAATTAAATCAAATAGGATATTTTAAAAGTTAAAGGATACAGTGTCTGACATTAAGAATTAGGCTGGGAGATGACTAGGTGGCCACGCATTTGCCACGCGTGCATGAGGACTGGAGTTTAAGGGGCCCAGCACTCTTATCAATGTACATGGCAACACGTTTGTGGTTCCAGCCTGAGAAGCTGCAGACCTGGGATCCAGAGCAAGCTGGCTAGTGAGACGAGCTCTGTCAGCAAGCTCCAAGTCTGACTGAAGATGTCCTGCCTCAGTGGACGAAGTACAAGAGTGATCAAGCCTGATTCTTGATGTCAAGCTTTGGCCTCCACATGCATGTGTACATGCACACATACACACACACACACATAGGTATATACATATATGTGTATACACACACTCAAACTCACAGGCATGTGTGCACACACACTCACTCATATGCAGGTGTACACACACCCACACAGAAAAAAAAAACCCAAGAACTAAACAGATGGAGTTGATTGACACACAGGGAACTCAAAGACAGATGCACAGAGAGAACAGAAAGCACGGGAAAGCAGCAGACATGTTACACAAAGCAACACTCTAATGTGAGTCACTGGAGTCCCAGAAGAGAGGAAAGGAGGTGGGAAAATGGGAAGAGCTGAGATTTCCCCGTACTCATGGAAGGCATGAGTCTACAGGCCCTGCCCACATCCAAGAGACTAGCACCCTAGATTGTTCCTGAATGCCATGCAGGACCGCTTGCAGCTAAGAGTAGATGAGTGACCAAGGGCAGGAGCATGAGGTCCCCCTTCTCTCACCTGCCAATTGCCCACTGAGCGCTCCCCTTTCTCTCAGAGGGCCTCTGGACATGGGCTGGTAACAATAGCATGGTTCTCCACATGTGCTCCACAGTTCTCACTTTCCAGGTGGAGAGCCTGGCCCTGTACTACTCACCCTCAGGCTCATCAGCCTGATCAGCCTGCCCCCATCTCTGACTCTCCCACCCCACAGCCCATGAAACCCATCTTCCCCAGCCCTCTGACCGGCAAAGCCATGCAGCCGTGGCAGTGTGTCCCTTGCAAGGGAGAGCAGGGGCAGGTACAGCTCTGCCACCTTGGCCTTCACAGTAGTCTCTGTGTAGCGGGGGTCAACATCGTGGCTGCACAGCAGGCTATGTACGGCGCTAATGGCCTTCTTGTGCAAAACAGATGCCCTGTGGAATGACAGAGTGCTCAGCACGGTGCAGACATGGCTCCTGGCTCCTGTCACTCTGCTCTGGCCATACCCTGACCCCATGCTCACCCTTCAGCTTCTGGCTCCAGGGCGAGGGCCAGCTCTGTCAGCAGGAGTCCAGACAGGAAATGTTGCTGCCTAAAAGGCCCACTTAGCTCAAACATGCTGGTCACCTTAGGGTCAGGGGCCTGGCTGGAGAAGGTGGAGCTCTGCAGATGGGATGGTGGATGCCCAGGGTCAAGGGTCAGAGGTATAAGGTCACCACCATGATCACTATGACAGTAACTGAAGTTAGCATGAAGAGCTGGAGATGACTGGTTGGGAATGGGAAAGGTGAACCCACAGACCCTAAATCTGGATATTTCCCACTTTCCCCTCCTGAAAGTGCTTCAGGAGGGGCCGGGAAGAGGGCTCAGTCAGGAAAGGTGCACTCCACCAAGCTTAACCACCCAAGTTTGATTCCCCGCATGGTGGACAGAGAGAACTGACTCCTGCAAGTTGTTCTCTGAGTACTACACTATCATCGCAGCATATATGTGCTTCCCCACAAAGCAAATAAAAATTTAAATTAAAAATATCTCCCAAGAAAGTGTCATCATGATACTTTTTTTGCTCAGGTATTGTATGATGACAATATCAATGCAATAGTACTCAGTGGGCACAGGGTTAAAGATCAGAGGAGCTGGAGAGATGGCTCAGCAGTTGAGAGCACTGGCTGTTCTTCCAGAAGACCTGGGTTCATTTCCCAGCACCCACATGGTGGTTCACAACCATTTGTAATGCCAGTTCCAGGGGACCCAGTGCCGCCTTCTAGGCCTCCACGGGTACCAGGCATACATGTGGTGCATAGTCATACACGTAAAATAAAAATAAATAAAACTTTAAAGGTCAGAGGTGAGAGGCCAGGGATAACCCATCCATGAGGTGGTAGAGTCTGGAGTCCAAACTCAAAGACCTGAGAAACAGCAGACTGAACACAAGTCCAAGAACTGGATTTGGGACTCAGCTCTGAGAAGTCATGGGTGAGGACTCACATGTGAAAAGTCAAAGGTCAAGGGTGTGCCAGGGCAGTGGACCACAAGGAAGTGAACAGAGATGTAGAGGATGGGTAGAAGGTGAACCACTTAAGGTGAGGGGGGAGGGAGGCCCGCCTACCTGGGAAGTAGTGGAGGACACTGAGGGTGGATGTGGGGGGAGATGCCGGGGGGGGGCGGGGGGGACATCAGCATCCCTGGGTCACATGACGACATCCGCCACACCCCCACACCCTCCACCATGCACACCTACCTGCTTGTAGTGAGCTCGTACCAGGCTGAAGATGTAGCCTCGGTCTGCTATGGATAGGAGGTCGCTGAGGAAGAAGGCCAGGCTAGCGTTGAGACGCTCAGCCAGCTCCATGTCCTGGGGACATGGGAACCTATCAGTCCATATTCATAGTGCCCAGCCTGGCTCTCCTCTGCATGACTTCCTTAACTCCCAGGTCTTCCGCCCTGACTTCCTCCCCCTCCACAATCCACTTACAATACTCATTTTACTTTATTTTTATTATTTGGGATGGGGTCTCACTATGTAGCCCTAGCTGACCTAGAGCTCGTTGCTAACCAGGCGGGTTTCAAGAGCACAGAGATCTACCTGCCTCTACACTCCAGAGCTGAGATCAAAGGCCACTATGTCACACCCAGCCCCAAAAGACATTTTCTTTTCTTCTCCCACCCACAGTTGGATAACCCACTCTCTATGTCCAGACTTCATAGTTTAACAGAATACATTCCCCAGGCTCCCTTGAGCTGATATTCTAGCCAATGAGATCAGAGAGGGGGTGAAGTGCCCTCTTTCATTGCTTGAAACTCCTGGAGAAACTCCGGGCCAAACTCTGGAAGCCTCATAGCCTACTTATATAGAGAGAAACACTTTGGTTCTGTTTAAACGCTTATCCTTGTGCTCCAGCAAATTAATATGCTCTAATGGTCCAGCACCAGAAATCATTCAGTGAACACCTATTGAGCATCTACTGTGAAGGAAACATGCCCAACAGTCTCAGGGGAGAAGTGATAAGCTAATATTACATAGCCCAGGCCAGCCTCAAGCTTGTGATTCTCCTGTCTCAGTCTCTCAAATGCAGGGACCACAGGTGTTCACCAAGACACCTGGCTGGGACGTCGCTGGGATTGTGTGACAAGGGCAGCATTTCCCAAACCTGAAATGTTCCTATCACATCCCCAAGTGAGTTTCTCTTTAAAAACCAGGAGAGTCAACCACGCTGGCACAAGATTTTAATCTTGGCACTTGGGAGGCAGGTGGTTCTCTCTGCGTTTGAAGCCAGCCTGGTCTACATAGCAAGTTCCAGGCCAGTCTGGGCTACACAATGAGACTCTGTCTAAAAATAAAATAAAATCAGAAGAGATGGGGTTGCAAGTTGGCTCAGAGGGTGAAAGTGCTTGCTGCCAAGCCTGATGTCCAGAGTCTGCCTGCCTCTGCCTCCACAGTGCTGGGATTAAAGGCCTGTGCTACCACCGCCCAGATTAATTTTTTTAAAATAATAATAAAAAAAAAACTGAGGAGACATTTCTGTAGGACATGGGCTGGATGGGAAGTGCAATGGGTGTTTCTATCTGAGGGGAGCTTTCTGGCTCTCACACACCACTACAGAAGAGGGCGACTTGGATTCAAATCCTTTTACCTCTTCCTCCCCAGCAGCATGGCACCAGGTTACACTATTCTGTCACTTTGTGCCTCAGTTTCCCTATCAGTAGAGATGACATTAATACTTCATGGATGACTGGTGAGATTAAATATGATCCAGCTGGAAGGCGATCAATAAATGCTTCCATAAGAATACTGTGATCTTGGCTATTGTTTGCCAGTCCCTGTGGGGACTGGAATTGGTGATCCTGGGGCCTCGATGATCATCAGAGTCTCAGTATCACAGCATCCATTTATCATGTTCCTGCTGTATACTGGTGCTAAGCTAATGGCCACAGGACGTGTCCCACACCCTCCTTATCCTCTCCACCTTTTAGCCCCCTCTGATTACTCTACATCACCCATGCTCACCCCTCATTGCCAAGCTGCAGCCCTGACTGACTCAGGACCCTTGTGCTTGCCATGCCTCCTGACTGTAGCTCCAAGGCCTCACCCATCTCACCTTTTCCTCCAAATCTGCTTTGTGAGGGCAGGGACTTGATCTGTCTTATTTGCTGCTGTGCCTCTACATCCAGACAGGGCTATGTATACCATAGGTGCTCAAGAAAGAGACCTTGGATGAACAGACACACATGACACACTACATCTCTGACTGCAGCACTGGTCCGTCCACCTGCTCACTTTCCTCCAAGAGGCCCTGAGTCCCTCCTCACCTTATGGACTCTGGTGATGACTTCCAGGCCCACAGAGGCCACCAGGGCTGAGATGTCGTCCAGGAAGCGCCCAGGGAAGCGCAGCTTGCGGGGAGTGTCCAATCGCTGGCCCAGGAGCAAGTGCAGCTCCATGCTTTTTATCTGCGGGTGAGGTGAGTGGTCAGGGTGTAACTTGAAAGGCTATGGGTGGGGCTGTCACATGGGCGATGCTTGAGGGCTGTGGGAGGAGCTTAAGATACATCGCTGAGGCTGAGGGAAACTGGGGTGCTGGACTGATAGGTGGTGCACTACAGGCCGGGAAGGGGAGCGTAAGTGGCTCTGAGCTAAGTAGCTGAAGCTGAAGGATGGCCTGGGCTTGACAGACGAGCAGCATCAGGAGCAGTAGGCTTGGGGCTGGAGAGACGTCTCAGTGGTTAAGAGCATTGGCCCCTCTTCCAGAGGACCGGAGTTCAGTTCCCAGCACCCACATGGTGACTCTCAGCCATCTATCATGGGATCTGATGCCCTCTTCTGGTGAGCATGTGTGCATGCAGATAGAGCACCATATACATAAAATAAATAAATCTTTTTAAAAAAGTGGGCTAAAGGGAGCCCTGACCCCAACGGATGCAGCCTGAAGGCTGTGGGCAGGGCCTGAGGAAGGGACTGGGTGGAGCCTGCGTGGGTAGCAGTGGAAGGGATCTGATGAGTCGGTGGGACCATCGGTGGAGCCTTAGGACGCAGTTTTGCCTGTAGAGCCTGTGTCTACCTCTTATTTGAGACTGGTCTCACCGAGTTCAGAGCAGCCTGATTTGGCTAGGCTGGCTTGTCAACATGTCCTCAGTCTGGGATTCCAGGCTTCCATCGGGTCCAGCCCTTTCTTTTTCACCTGTGTTCTGGGGACCTAACGGGTCTTCATGCATGTGAGGAAGGCACTTTAACTGAACCTTCTCCCAGCCTCTGAGAGGCTGAGTCGGGGGAGTTCAGGTCTCTGTCTTGGAGGACTATGGGAGATGGACCGGTGGGTCCAGGGGCAGCAGGCACTGGGGAAGAGGACACAAACTCACACTTGAAGGAAGCTGAGGGGTGTGCAAAGCCTGACCTCTCAGTGCTCAGTGCCCTGACTCTGGGTTGAGGAGTCCTCTCCAGAGAGGGGGGTTCATTGGCAAGGTGACCTCCATTTCTCCTTACAGAAGAGCCTCAAGGCCCTTCCTTAGGGTTTTTAAGCATAGTCTCAAGGCACTTTTTCTCTAAGGTAGGTCCCCCTGGATGGGGAAGTTCTCACCATGAGCTGGAAGAAGAACCAGGCATGCTGAAGGGCCACCTCGCGAACCGTACTGCCACTCACCACCCACTGCAGAGCCAGCTCCTCGTGCAGCAGCTGTGGGCAGGGCTAGGGTCACCAGGAGCCAGGGGCCACCCCTCCCACACACCCCTTAGGAAGGCATGACTTGGGGGATGCAGCCTGAAGCCTGGTTGTGGGGGTCAGAGCAGCAGGAGGTCATGCAGGAGGGGATGAGAGCAGATTCCAGCCCTGGCTGGGCTCTGGGTGTGGGGAGGAGCACTGGACCCCTTGCTGTGCGGCAGTGGGGCAGATATCAGATCAGCCACCCGACTCCCACCTCTACCTTCTGCACAGTGTGTCTTGGCTGAGGGGGTGGCAGGGACGAGGAGGAGGCCTCGAGGTAAGAGGAGGCACGGCTAGAGCTGCGGTCGATGTCCTAGGATGGATGGGATGGAGAGCATGGGATGGCAGAGTGAGTTAGTGATGGAGAAGAGAAACAGGGATGAGGCTTCATGGATGAGGAAGGGTGGGTCCACATGGGCATGGGTAAAGAGAGATGGGTCTTGGTCAGCACAAACACAGGAGGAACTTAGGTTAGGGTTTGCATACATCTCAGAAACTTCATTCATGTGTTAGAGATTTTGTGTTTGGTTGTTTTGAGACAGGGTCTCATGTAACACAGGCTGGCCATGTTGATGACATTTGGTGGTAGAAACTTTGTAGGTGACTAGCATTAGGTAAGGCTATGAGGGCGGGACCCTACAGTACTATTAGTGGCTTAAGAAGAAGAGGAAGAGAAAGGCAGGCAAGGTGGAACACACTAATCCTAGCGCTGAGGACGCTGAGGCAGGAGGATGGTGAGTTCCAAGTCAAGGGGGATCCTTGTCTCACAATAAAGGGAAGAGAAAGGAAAAGAAGGAAGAAAGGGAGGGAGAAGGAGAAAGTAGGGGGAGAGAAGGGAGACAGCCAAGTTAACTCACTGCCTCTGACACTATGGGCTAGCCTTCACCACATGATATAGCACGAAGAGGCCCATGCTTAGAGCAGCACTTAGCATCCAGAGGCATGAATTAACTAGTTATGCTTTGTTAGTTAGTTTGTATTTCAAAGCAGGGCTTCTCTGTGTAGTCCTGGCTATCCTAGAAATCCCAGAGTACTGGGATTAATGTGTGTGCCGCCACCGCCCAGCTAGTTAGTCTTTAAAAATGAGCTGAGACAATGGGTGGGGCCATACAGGCAACGGGGGAGACAGGTCGTTGTGATGGGTTTGTGCTGTGTGAGGACATGGGGCAGGTGAAGGAGCAGTTGAAATCAGATGTGTTGAGAAAAGAGGGAGCTGGACATGGTGGGGTACACCTGTCATCCCACCACTCAGGAGGCCGAGGCAGTAACAGTGTGACTTCCGAACCATAATGGACTACACAGCAAGAATTTGTCTCAAAACACAACAGCCAAACCAAACAACACTCCACAAAACACAGAACAAACAACAAAAACAAGGACGGGGATTTGGCCCAGTGATAGAGCACTTGACTTTGCATGAACGAGGCCCTGGGTTTCATCCCCAGCACTCAGGGAAAAAAAGAAAAGAAAAAGGGGTGTGCTGGGAAGGATGGAGTCAGGAGTAACAGTGAAGAGCACGCGATGGCATGGGGTGAGTGCCAGGGTGCAGCAGAGACAAAGGCTGGCCAAGGCCCAAAGTTAGGGACCATTGTAGACAGGGGAATGGAATTTTTGATGGAGGAGGCCAGAGGTAGCAGAGGACCCAGTACTAGGTCAAGAGTTAAATGGAAGGACTTGACCACCAGGTGGAGTTTGTGAACATAGAGGAAGTGTGTAGAGACAAGAAAGAAAAAGAAAAGGAAGGCAGGTAAGACAGTGAAGATGGTATATGCTAGGACTCTAAGGCCTGCCCTCCTGTTCCAGCCTTGCTCAGAGCCTCAGCATGCCCCTCTGTGAAATGGGTACAGTGGCACAAGACTCACTCTCCTTGCCTGGTTTTCTGGTCAGGAGAAAAGGCTTAGTGATGAGTTGGCTCAACAGCTGACACTTGGACACCTGTAGCCGTCATGTGCCATCATGCACTGCTTACTCAGCATGTCTGAGCCAGGCCACACACTATGAAGACCACTTCCTGCCTGGGACACCACCCTGTTACTACCTGGTTATCTCCTCTTGGCTCCCCAAAGACTAACTGACCTTTCAGGAGATTGAGGACAACCCTAATTAAAAATGCTAGGGGTGTCGTGTAATTCAATTTTGTTTCTAATTCAAATAAAAAATGATTTAAAAAAATGCTAGGGGTGGGGACTGGAGAGATGGCTCAGCAGTTAAGAGCACTGGCTGCTCTTGCAGAGGACCTGGGTCAGATTCCAGCACCCACATGGTGACTCACAACTGTCTGTAACTCCAGTTCCAGGGGATCTGATGCCTTCTTGACTTGTGTGTGTGTGTGTGTGCGTGTGGTTTTTTTGAGACAGGGTTTCTCTGTGTAACAGTCCTGCCTATCATAGAACTTACTCTGTAGATCAGGCTGGCCTTAGACTCACTGGGATTAAAAGCGTGCCTCATCGCCTTCTTGACATTCAAGGGCACCGGGCAAGTGCAACATCAACAAACATGCAGGTAAAATACCCATACACATAAAATAAATAAGTCTAACATATTTTTAATGCTGGGGGAAGGCTGGGCCTGAGCCCGAGCTGGTAGTGTTTGCCTAGCTTCCTCAAAGCCCTGGGTCCCATCCCAAGCCCAGAATGGACCAGTCACACAGGCTGAGCACATGACTTACCAATGAACTTGAATCCTACCTAGCATTTTTCTTTTGGGACAGGGTCTCATTCTCCAGCCTGGCCTCGCTCACTATGTAGCCAAGGATGACTTTAAACTACTGATCCTCCTGCCTCCCTCTCCAAAGGCTGGGTTTATAGTCATGTGCCACCACACTTGGCTTATGGGTACCAGGGATGGACTCGGGGCTATGTGTATGCCAGGCCAGCACGCGACTTGCTGAGCCCCAGCTTCCCTGCTGAAGTGCTGAAGCATCCACGCTGGCACTTCTGAACCTGCTCACTTGTTTGATGGATGTCTATTTCTGGGATGCCTACTTTAGCTCAGGGAGACCCCCCCACCCAGGCCCTACCCTATGCCCATGCCTGGGACCATGTTGCTGAGCACTTTACTAGGAGTCTTTCATTGTTTTTGCTGAGATGAGATCTGATGTAGCCTAGGCTGCCTTGTAACTTCCATGTAGCCCAGGGTGACCTTGAACTCCTGCCTCTGCCTCCCAAGAGTTGGGATTACTGGCAGGCACCTGAAAATTCGGTGTGCTATTATCATCTTAAAAATTGAGACATTCAGAGAGGCAGCCAATCAGCTGGGCACAGGACAAGACCTGAGCCAAGAGGGGTGGAGTCCAGGCCTGCTGCAGGTAAGCCCTCCCCACACCAGGTACCTGGGAAGGGGTCAATGGGGAAACCCTTGTATGAAAACAGATGGGGAACTACTGGGGTCCAGGGCTACTTCACCCTCATAAGGGTTGTCTGTGCCAAAGGGATGGTTAGAGGTCCCCTAAAGCAGAGATGGGTTAAAGGGTGGGGGACGGCCATGCAGGTAGTGAAGTTAGAGATGGGGAGATTAACATATGGTTTGCACTCATTTACATACCACCACAGAGTCTTCTACTCTGCTGGGACTAGGGCTAGGGTCTATGTTTTTTCTCAATGTTTTTTTGTTCACTTGTTAAGACAGGGTCTCACTGTGCAGCCCTGGATGGCATCCAACTCACCATGTAGAGCAGGCTGGCCTTAAACTCACAGAGCTCCGCCTGCCTCAGTCTCTCATGCGCTGGGATTAAAGGCGTGCACCACCACTGCCTAGTCTTGCTTCTTAATCTTAATTTTGCTTCTTGGTGGTGCTGGGGATGGAACCCAGAACCTCATGCCTGGCGTTAAAGAACTCTGCCACTGAGCCACACTCCAAACCACACAGTGGCCTAATGGCAGCACAAGGCCCATTAGGCTGACCCGATACCTATAACAGAGACCTCCACAGCCCAGACACAGTCATGTGGGGTTCCTGCTGTCCCTCGGGGGTTAGTTCACTACAGCCGGGAAGGTAGGAAGAACTCATGCAAAGGTGACACACATGTGGGGCAGACAGAGAGAGCACCTGTCTGGGGTCAGCCCCACAGTACGGGGGCACCCGCCGCAACACAGCCTTGCTGCCTCCTGGCGCATAAGCAGAATTCACCCAGGAGTGTGAGCGATCGACACCCTGAAGACACACAGAGAAGGGATGATGTCCCGGGCTGAGCATGGGGACGGAGGTATGGGAGACCAAGTGTAGACACTGCCCCAGATCACGTATGTGCCATGCACATACCTGGGAAATGTGCGGGGTGCATGTGTTCATGTAATGTGTAACTGTCTAGAGTGCCTGAGCATTTGAACCCATGTAGATATGAGTGTGGAGAACATGTACATATATATTCATGTATGTATAAGCACGTGGGGCCTGTCCATATGCAATTGTGCATGGATGTGCATGGGCTAAGTACATGCACATGTGTGCATGGGGTATAAGTGTCTGTGCACTGTGTGCATAAGTCAATGTATGTGTGCACATAGGCTACATATGTCTATGCATCTGTGCACATATGTACAAGGGACATGCATACACACCCCTTCCTATTAGTGTACACAGGCTGCATATGTACACACACTTTTGAATTAGTGTGCACAGGCTGCTGAACCATGTACATTATACTCTTTGTTGAGCCAGGCCAAACCCTTTACCCCCATTCTCCAGTCAACTGAACAGTGCAGAACCCCAGAGCAGCCCTGCAGCTGTGAGAGCCTTAGGTTGGACACAGCCCCTCCTCTGAACAGTGACTTCTGGCTTTCCTTCCTCCATCTGCATGGCGATTCTTCACCCACTGAGCCTTCAGCCAGGCCCTGGAGGCTGAGGTTTCAGGGCCCCTTGTCCTACCTTGGTGGCTAGGATGCGGGACACCTCATCATCCACAGAGCCAGGGGCCACAGCCAGGTCCGGGTTGCTGCTGCTGATGCTCTTAGAGCGTGTCAGGTAGAGGCTGGTGGGGCGGCCAGAGCCTCGGGCCAGCGTAGCCGCCTGGACAGTTGCTGGGGCGACCCCTGAAGAGAGAGGGAACCATCAGCTCAACACCTGCCAGGATGACGACCCCAGTCCCTGGGTGAAATAGCTTTCCTTCTCTGAGTTTCCATGTTCTCACTGTAAAATAGAGTCAAACATGGTTACTGCTTCAGAGTGACTTGGGGCAGACAGAATACACTGGGAACAGAGCTTAGTGCCTACACATTCATAGCTACTGTTCATTATTATGAATGGGAAAAAGCTAACTTCTCTTTCAGTGCTGGGGACGAAACCCAAGGTCTTGTGCAGGCTAAACAGTTTCACTACCAGGAGCTCCACCCCAGCCCAAGTCCCTCCCTCCCTGTCCTTCTTTCCTTCCTTTCTCCCTTTCTGTCCCTCCCTCTATGCCCCTCACCACCATTCTTTCTGGTGCTCAGGCATGCCACTCAACCACATTCTCAGGGAATGCTCACTACAGGAAGGGCTTTTCAAGGTTAGTGCCATCTGGGACTATCCGAACTGAACAGTCAGTACCTCATTTAAAAATGGGAAAACAAGCCAGGTGGTGGTGGCACAAGGCTTTAATCCCAGCACTCGGGAGGCAGAGGCAGATGGATCTCTGTTTTCAAGATCAGCCTGGTCCACAGAGCAAATTTCAAGACAGCCAGGACTGCACAGAAAAATTATCTCCAAAATAAATAACAAACAAATAAATAAAGGGAAAGCAGGCTCAGAGAGGTAAAGACCAGGATCACACAGCATCTAGGCAATAGAATGGACACTCAAAACCAGGCTCAGCATCTTGCTGATGGGCCGATCCAGTTGTCGGTCAAGTGTGCAGAAACCTGGCCTGAGGCCAGAGCAAACTGGGTAAGATGGTGTCTACCTCCTAAGTCACCCAAGTGAGTCCCTGAGGCCCTGGGGGCTTTGCATATGTTACTCTTCTGCTTAGTGTGCTGTTCGCACCAATATTTCCTGTGGCCCAGAGTTCTCCATCAACACTCACCACCTGGTAGGCTGAGGTCACCGCCAGGGAGGTGAAAGGCATAATGGACATAGGCAGCCAGCAGTGGGCAGTGACCACGGGAGTCTTGGACGGCCTCCAGGCTCCGGTGCACAAGGCTGGCTACATGAGCCATAGCTTCAAAGGCCCCTCGGCCCAGGTTCACTGTCGGACAGAGCAAAGGTCAAGTTACGCTGCCCAGAGCCTTTCAGGGCCCCAGTCACCTTCCAGAGGAGGAAAGGGCAGAGGAGGTACAGGAGCTCATTGAGATCTTAAAGGACTTGCACTGGGGTGCTCTGGGAGTTTAGAGAAACCAATGAACTATAGGAAGGCACTCAGGGTTGGAGGAAAGGGGGAGTAGCTTTCCAGAAACAGGCCTGAGACCACAGTGGCTCACCTATCTGGCCACCAATGATCGGTGGCCGCACAACCAGGCGGACAAGCTTGTCTAGAACATGGTGGGAAAAGGCCACAAGGGGCTCTGGGCTGGCGAGGCGCAGAGCCGCCAAGCTGGCTCGCAGCTCCTGCTCCATAGTGGCCTCACTCAGCACTGTCTCCTTGAGCCGGAATGGAAATGTCCCTTCTTCTAGAACATGTACCAGGGTGAAGAACTTATCCAAGTGGGGGTCCTAAGGAGAAGGATGGGCATGTAGTGAGCAGAGAGGGGGCGGGGTGGGGGTGCATGCCCCTCCCAACCTGAGTCAGCAGTCTGGGTCAGATGGACTAAAGTCATGTCCAGTGGCTGGAGGCCAGACCTTCACCAGCCAGCTGTAAGTAAATCTTGCTCAATCCCTGGCTAAGCAGGAGGGGATCAGGCCAGGGAGCCTGGGTTCTCATCTCACTCTGTACCTGGGGGTGCACGGACGATACGGCTGTGAGCTCCACACTGAACACACCCTTGTGACCGTCCACCCAGCGCATGCCCGGCAGCGCCACCTGTGGGAGGGAGAGGTGGGATGGGCACAGGCTGACCCTCCCCCATGCATCAGGCCACCAGGCCAGGCTGTGGCCTTAGCCATTGCAACACCATGGACAGAAAGCCCAGCCTGAGGCAGAGGCAGGGTACCCTGTCCCTAAGGGAGAGCCCTAAGGACAGGCTGGAAAACCACAGAAAATGGAGGGTGTGCTCAGAGTTAACAGTAACTAGAAAAAGCAATGAGCTGGAATAGCATTTCAGGGGGAACTTGAAACCATCAGACATGCCCATTATTGAGTAGCATTTCAGGGGGAACTTGAAACCATCAGACATGCCCACTAGCGAGTAGAGGGGAAGGTGGTGGCACTATAATGGGGTAGATGGAGGGGACAAAAATGATGCCACGCATGGTGACACACGCCTGCCATCCCAACACTTGGGAGACAGAGACAAGGATCAGGAGTTCAAGGTCATCCCTGACTACGCACAATTCCAGGCCTGCCTGGGCTGTGTGTGACCTTGTCTTAAACAAAACAAAACAAAACAAAACCCCAGGACCATCAAGATGTTCCAGTGGGTAGAGGCTCTCACCACTAAGTCTAATGACCTGCTCTAAGCCCCAGGACCTGTATGGCAGGCCGAGAATGTACCCCACAAAGTTATTCTCTGACTTTCACACATTTCCCAAGGCACACGAGACACATTCCCAAAATAACAATTTTTTTTTTTTTAAATCACAAAGGCAGGGCTGTTACTGGAACAGAGAGACTGGGGGACAGCGATAGAGGAGAGGGCTAGCTAGGATATAGAAAGAGACACATAGGATGCAGTAGTCCAGAGACATTCTGTTGGGGTGGCAGGAGGCACAGGGGCCCACAAGTGACCATTAAGTTGAGCAAGGCTCTCAAGGACATTGAAGGGAGGCAGGGGGAGCTGTAAGGACTAGAGAGCAATAAAGGCATCCGTGCTGGGGGCACGGGTACATACATCAGGGGTCAGGACCGAATAGCTGGGTGGAGGCTGGTCCACTGACACAGGTAGGCAGAAGGGACCAGTCCTCAGGCGGCCATGTTGTAGCAGAGGGATCCACTGGGGAAAAGTCGGATGGATAAGGGTGAGATATGGCTGGGCGGCCTTGGGGGGTGGGGTCAGGGAAGGAAGCTGGGGGGTTACAGTGGCTCACAGTGAAGCCCACAGGCGTCTCCAGGGCTGTTCCTGGCCGGGGCTGACAGCTGACATGGTAGAAGGTAAAAAAGAGGTGATGGTTCTCGGTCACACAGGCGGGAAGTCGCAGCTTGAATTCCTCGTAGAATTCAGGAGACCTGGTAAAATAGGGCCAGGGGCTGGGGGCCAGCTAGGGAGTGGGAATCTCACAGGATGACAACCTGCCTCAACTTACCTCATTTGTATACCAAGCCTCCGCTCTTTCTGTTCCACACATACTCTCCCTACCCTCGGCCACCCTGACCCTCTGAGTCCCCCAGGGTCAGTCCAGGTCTCCCACACCCAACCCGGCATACTTGTTATGATAGATCACTGGTGTGAAGGCCTCTCGGGTGAATTCGCTACAGCTAGATTTCCCAAAGATGACCTGTGGGAGGTGGGGCATGAGGGACCCACTGGGGACAACCTATGCCTGTTCCTTCCCCTTCCCTCCAGAGCAGGGGTACTGCACTGACCGGCAAGGCCTGGCTTTGGTCCTCGCCAGCCATGTACTGGATCCTCACAGCCAGGTTGCGCACAGAGCCCTGACGACTACTGAAATTGAGACTGTGTGGGTACACGAAGAGCAGGTTCCTGAAAAAGGAGGAATGGGAGGGGTGGGGGACCCGTTAGAGAGCTGGAGACCCAGTCATGGGAAAGAGGGTCATGAAGCAGGTGCACTTGGGGGCGGGGCTGTGATCCCAGGCATCACAAAGGGTCATGGATACACGAAACCTCTTTGTTGTTGTTGTTTGTTTTTTGAGACAGGGTTTCTCTGTGTAACAGTCCTGGCTGTTCTGGAACTCACTCTGTAGACCAGGCTGGCCTGGAACTCACAGAGATCCCCCTGCCTCTGCCTCCTGAGTGCTGGAATTAAAGGCGTGCGCCACCGATGCCAACAGATGAAACCTCTTGATGCTCACATCTAGAGTCAGGCAGGTACAAGGCCAGGCACAGATGGGCACTGAGAGCCAGGGGGTTTTTGTTTTTGCTTTTACTCAGGATGATTTTAAACTCTTAGCTTCCTGTCTCCACCTCCAAAGTGCTGGGATGACAGGCATGTACCACCATTCCTGTTGTATAAACTACTGGGGACAGAACACAGGGCTTTGTGTGCACTAGGCAAGCACTCTGCAGGCTGAGGGCCCCTCCAGCTCCGCATGGCTGAGGCCTACAAGGGCAGCCTGGGTCCTGGAGAAGTGGTTGAGCAGTTAACAGCACCCACATCAGGCAGCTCCAGGGACCTGATGCCTCTTTGGGCACCTGCACTTAGATCCTGCCCCCAAACACATCTGATGAAAACAATAAACCTTTTCAAAAGGTGGTCCAGACAGCCAGGAACAGCTGTCCTCACCTCACCACTGCCTTGTTGCCCCACTGCAGTTACATAGAGGCTGTCTCCCCAGGGCCGGGCGTTGGTGGCGCACGCCTTTAATCCCAGCACTCGGGAGGCAAAGGCAGATGGATCTCTGTGAGTTCGAGACCAGGCTGTCTCTCAGATGGACACAGAATCAGAGGCTGGCACTAGAGTCCTGGTCCTGCCCTCTTTCCTCAACTGTAACTGAGGCCTCCAACCCTGTAGGCTTCGGTTGCTTTATCTGTATAATGGGGGCATCTGGTAACACAATACCAACAACCAACAGCCTTGGTGACAGTCATCACACAGTGATAGTCATTGCACAGCACACCTCTGGGTGTCAAGCCCCACTCCAAACACTCAGCAGGAACAACTCTATGGCCATTTCCTGTGCTGATGGGGAATGGGCGCAGAGCCTCCCACCTCTGAGCTTTACCTCAGCCCTTGTTTTCTTGAGGCAAGAGAGGGTCTAGTTCTGTAGCTCAGGATGGCCTTGAACTCAAGTTCCTCCTACCTCAGCCTCCTGAGTAGGACAGACATGAGCCACCACATCTGATTTATGGACTGGCTTTCCATTTACAATCAATGACCGTTCTTCCCAAGTGCACATAGTGGGTGCTCGACAGAGGTGAATTACCACACGTGGGACCCCTAGGTGCAGGATGAGGTGCAACACTTGCCCCTTAATTTAACTTCTAGGAAATTAAATCAAAATTAGCACCAAGCACAGGCTCCATAACCTCTGGAGAGGACTGCCATGTCACTCTTGCTCCCCTTCCAGCTGTCAGCCACACCCACAGTGACCCCTTGCAGGTGACACACAATGCCTGCAGTCCATGTAAATGGCTGACGGTCACGAGACTCTAGCCTGTTCCAGTGGCCCCTGTGGGAGGCCCAGAGCAGGCGGTGTCCTGCTGTGTTGGTGTATAGAGAGCCTAGGCTCACAGAGGCCATGCCTGGGCTTAGATGGGATCTGAGGGTCAAGGCATGCAGCAGTCATACGGCCCCTGGTGCTGAGATCTTGGGCCTGAGCTTCCCACTGCACCTCCCACTCCACCCCAGCTGGCCCTGAGTTCTAGCCAGCGTGATATCAGCGTGGCCTGCTTAGCCATCAGCCTGATGCAATGGCTGCGCCCCTGCCAGGCCCTTGTGCAACCATGGCTGGCTAACCATTGACCAGGGAGAGGGGGGTTAATGTCAGCCTGTGGAAATAAAAGGTGGCCCACAGTGGCATAGGAACCACACCCCCTAGACACTTGGCCATGGCTGTGCTCGCTCTCTGCCTCCTATGGGCCTTAACATCAGCAGTGCGGCCTGCCCCAGCGGCTCCTCTGGGTGGTCCAGAGCCAGCTCAATATGAAGAGCTGACCCTGCTTTTTCATGGGGCTTTACAGCTAGGTCAGGCCCTCAACAGTGTGTACAGAGCCACAGAGGCACGTCTGACAGAAGCTGGGCACAGCCTGGGCCTCTTTGACAGAGCACTGGGACTCCTGGGAACAGAGGTCAGGCATGGCCGGGATGCAACACAGGAGCTTCGCACCAGCTTGTCGGAGATTCAGGTGGGCACTGGAGCTGGGGTGTTGTTGGATGGATAAGGGTCTGAGGAAATTTTAAGTCAAGAGCGTCCCACTGTCCTGGGTAGCTCATAATAGAGGAAAAGTGATAAAGTCCTGGGTGGACAAAGCTGAGCGAGTGGCCTCACTGATACCACACCACCTGTCAAGCAGGTTGAAGAGGATGCTTTACACCTTGGTGCAGAGGCCACGGCCCGATCGCTCGGGGAAGCGGCCCGCACCCAGCAAGCTCTGCGAGACACTGTGCGGAGACTGCAAGTCCAGCTGAGAAGTGCCTGGCTGGGCCAAGCCCACCAAGAATTTGAGACCTTAAAGGTAAGGGGCTCCCAGGTCTGAGAGGGGTACAGCCCTGCCCACCTCTGAATGCTGAGCTCGAGGACCCTGCTCCCAGTTGTATGTGGGATTCTACTTTCAGTGACTGTCTTGGCCTCAGTTTTCCCAGAACCAGGCATGGTGGTGTTTGCCTGTGACCCCAGAACCCTAGAGGCAGGGGCAGGAGGAGCAGAAATTTAAAGCCAGTCTTGTCTACTTAGTCAGAGGCCAACCTGGGCTGCATGGTGACAGACAACCTGTCTCAAAAAGAACAAAAGAAGGATAACTGGTGTGGTGGCATACACCCGAAACCCAGCACTTGGGATTAAAGGCCGGATGGTCGGGAGTCCAGGGTGATCTCCGGCTAGAAAGACGTCCAAGTTAAGCTCGTGCTACATGAGACCCTGTCTCAAAATAAATAAATGAATGAATAATGGGATTGGCAGTTAAAAGCCTGGATGCCAAGCCCAGTGATCTGAGTTCTGTGCCTGGAGCCCACATGGTGAACCCCACTCCCTAGTTGTCCTTTGATTTCCATATTTGTGCCATGGCGTGTGCTCACACTAGGTAAAATAAATTTTACAATGAAATAAGGGCAGTGACAGCGACTTCACAGCAAAGCTAGAGCCTCCAACTGCAGGGGCAATGGACAGTGGGTGCTCAATAAATGCTTATTACCACGGGGTCTGGTGCTGCGTACGGAGAACCCAGCCAGTGCTATCTGATGCCTTTCACAAATTATACAAAGCAAGTCCTGTCTTAGATACACTTTACAAATGGGGAAACTGAGGCCAAATGGTCTTAGACATTTGCAGGGTCATGTGGATTGTAACAGAGAGACCTGGCAGTGGTCAGGAGACAAGAGATGAACCAGACCCCCCCCCCCCCCAGCTAATGTCTATATGCTACCCCACAGGCTCGAGCCGACAAGCAGAGCCACCTTTTATGGGTGCTCACAGGCCACGTGCAGCGACAGCATCGGGAGATAATAGAGCAACAGCGGTGGCTGCGGCAGATCCAGGAGAGGTGAGCCTGGTGGAGGACTTAAATTTAGGGTGGCAGGGTGGGTGGTGCCTAAGTCCACTGAAGGGTGACCCCATCCTACACTGGACTTGACTGAGCTGTCTCCCTCCCTAGACTCCACACGGCAGCCCTCCCGGCCTGAGACTACCTGGATGTGCTGCGAGAATATTGAATGTGAGCCACAAGGGCCCTGAGCAGGGCAGACAGGGCTGGCTGCCCGCCGCTGGGCTTGGTCAGTGCACCCCGATTCCTGACACAGAGCGGAGACAGAAGCAAGCAGGCGAGGTGGAAGGCAGAAGACAGAGCCCTGTGGAAGAGGGCTGGAGAAGTACATGAGTCCCTTTATACCCACATACCCCACAATAAAACACAACAGAGGCTATCTACGCCGAGTGCCTATGCCTGTGTCTGTAAGAAAGGGGGGGCTGGTGCTCAGTTGACACAGCACCTGCCTGGCATGCACAAAACCCTGGGTCCCAACCACAGAACCACAACCACGGGTGTAGTGGTGCACACTTGTCATCTCAGCACTGGGAAGGAAGAGGCAGGAGGATCAGGAGTTCATGGGGAGGCAGAGACAGGTGGATTCCTAGGCAGCTATCCTACTTGGCAAGTTCCAGGCCGTGAGACGCCCTGTCTGAGAATAAAAAGGCTGGGAGCTGGAGAGAAGGCACACATTGCTCCTGCAGAGGACCCACCCACATTCAAGTCATCCCTAGTGCCAGGGGGCTGACAACCACCTGCAACTCCAACTCCCAGGATCCAGTGTCTGGTTGCCTCATCACCTCACACAAGTGGGAAAAAACTGATTCTACAAGTTATCTGCAGACCTCCACACTTGCTCTGTGTGCACCCCTCCCCCAACAAATAAAATGAATAAATATGACAAAAAACTCTTAAAATGTATAGCTCAATAAAAAAAGACCACCCCCCCAAAAAAAACCCCAAACCCTCTTAAAACCAGATGGATAACTCCTGAAGAACAGCACCTAAGTCTGTTCTCTGGCCTGCATACACATGCAGACATTCACTTGGAAACATTTGAGCACTCCCACAACAGAAAAGCATAAACATGTGCGGGGCGGGCGCGCACCCCCCCACCCCCCCTACACACGAGAAGAATGGGGGCCCCACCAGCCCCGGAGGCTGTACCTGTAGCAGGTATGGGGGGCGTAGACCTCTCGGGCAGGGAACTCCAGAACCTCCTTGGTGGGCCGCCCTCGGGGGTCTGGATAGGGCTTGACATGCAATAACTCAGGGGACAGGCAGAAGTGTAGGTTCTCGGGTGCTGGGGAGATGTCAATCTTGAGCTGAGCTGGGGAGAAACAACTTGGTTTTTTGCTTGTCTCGGCCTCCAACGCCCTGGTGTCTTCTGGGGGCTGCACCCACTAGGAGCAACCTGCCCCCCAACTGCTCTGTTCCTTTCATTTCCTATCCGGGCCAGGGTTGAGTCCCCAGCACCCCAGCACCCCAGCATGGTCTGCTCATGACTATGTGAGTAAAAGTTCTCCTTTATAGGGTGTGCCACGCACCAGTCACCGGTCGCAAACGCCTCAACAGGGACGACGGTCGCCTCATGTCCGCCAGAAACTTGAAAAGGTCCTCATCACTAAGCCGTTCTGCCTCCTGTCAGTTACAGGTTCCCCAAGTCAAGGGGCTGAAAGTCCCCAAGATGGATGGCACCCCAGGGGAAGAATCCCTGTGTTCCCTTCCTCCCAGGCCCCTTGTCCTATACCAAGGTCACCTGTTTAAAGAAGTTGGTGACAGTTAACGTGGCTGGTCGGAAGCTGGAGAAGATGCAAGCATCATCCCCACTACAGCCTCGATCCTGAGGCCCCCGGCGGCGGCGTTCTGCCCAAGTAGGTCTGCGCTCTAGGAGGGAAGGCGTGGTGGCAGCGGGGGGGGGGGGCGAGCAGGAATTAGAGAGAGGGGCGATGGTGGCAGAGGAAGGGAGACGGGTGTAATGACGCGGAGAGCTAGCGAGCGAGCGGCTTGCGTCCTTACCGCCCTCGGAGTCGGAGTCCCGGTCCTGTGGCCCGACGCTGCTCACGATGTTGGCCAGGTGCACAGCCGTCCAGGCGAAAGGCATGCGGTAGCGGCCCAGCCTGGTGCAGAACTGCTCAGCGGCCAGGCGCAGCCCCTCCAGCTTGTCTTTGTTCTGTGGGGAGATGCAAGCGTCCCCTGTGCAGCACCCCCGGGACCTGCCCTGCAAAACCCCCCCCCCCCCCCCCCCCCCCCCCCCCTAACCGCGTCTGCCTCCTTCATCACCATGTAGGGCTCGCAACACTCGCTGATGTCCCCCTGCTGAAGCACCTTCTCCAGCTGTGGGGCAGAAGGACCCGGCCAGGGACTCCTTAGCCCCCTGCCAGTCTTCGGGACCCCCCCTTGGCCCACAGGCACTCCATTCAAGTCTGAGCATGAACCCAGGACTCCTGCAGCCTGGCAAGCCTCCGCCACCACCTATTCCCTAGCCCTCACCGACAGCGCCCGTGGCTCCCACTGTCCTCAGGGCTGACTTCTAGCACGCTGTCTGCCAGCAGCTCCGCTTCCAGCTGTCTCAATCCTTTCCCACTTTAAGTTGTTGATGTTTTCTCTACATTCCCCTTCGCTGTAATGTTTTCTTTTTTGTTTCATTTGCTTTTGAGATCTCACTGTGTAGCTCTGGCTGTCTTGGAGTTCTTTACATAGGCTTAGAACTCACAGAGATCCACCTGCCTCTGACCCCCCAGCCCCCCCAGTGCTGGGATTAAAGGCGTGGGCCTCTAATGCCCAGCTCTTTCTCACTTTCTGAACAGATTTTATTTTTAATGACGCATGTGTCTGAGTGTAAGTGCGGTGCTCACAGTGGCCAGAAGAGGGCAGTGGATGACCCAGCATGGATGCTGGGAACGGAACAAAGGTCTTCAGCATGAACAGTGGGTGCTCTCAATTGCTAAGGCGTTTCTCCACCCCCATCCCATCTCTCTCTCTTATTTTGGGATAGGTTCACACTGTGTTGCCCTAGCTGTCCTGGAACTCACTCTGTAGACCAGGCTGGCCTCAAACTCACTAAGATCTACCTGCCTCTGCCTCCAGAGTGCTGGGATTAGAGGTCTGTGGCACCACCACCTCTTTATCTTTCTTACACTGGGGATTATGGAAACCAGGGCCTCCCAAATACTGAGTAAGCACGTTACCACTGAGCCATGTCCCAAGGCCCTCATTGGAGGATTCTGGGAAAGCATTCTACTCTTGAGCTATGCCCTTTTCCATTTTTATTTTGAAACTGAGTCTCATGGGCAGGACTCAGATTTGCAATCCTCCTGTTCTGGTTGGCTTTTTGTTAGTTTGAAACCTGCCAGGGATATCTGGAAAGAGGGAACTTCAATGAAGAAAACCCCCCCCCCCCCAAACTGGCCTGAAAGCCAGTCTGTGAGTCATTTTCTTGATTAATGTGGGAGGCATCACTGTGGCTGGTGTCACCCTGCGCAGGTGGTCCCAGGGAGTATAAAAAAGCAGGCTGGCAAGTCAGGAAGAGCAAGCCAGAAGCCAGCAGCACCCTCCATGGCCTCTGCTTCAGAGGTTCCTGCCTTGAGCTCCTGCCCTGATTTATCTTCATGATGGAGAAAGACCCGAGAGATAGAATCTGAAACAAACCCTTTTCTCCCCAGTTTGTTGTTGGCCATGGTGTTGGTTGCAGCAGTAGAAGCCTCAGCCCCCTGGCAGCCAGGCTTACAGGCATATGCCATCACACATGTACATTTTTGTGAGTCCACACTGAAGACACGACTGAATGACAGGACAGGAACTCCAGTCCTGAATACCTCAAGAGTCGGGGGACCCTAGGCAAGGTTCTTACATGCTCTGTGCCTCAGTTTCCCCATTGCAACCTGCATCTTGAAGAGGTGGTAATTTGTTTCACTGCTGTAACCTAATCGTGACCAAAAGAAATCTCAGAATTCATGAGCTTACTTTTCCTGCTCCATCCACAGAGGCAGACAAAACTGTTTTGTTTGCTTATAAGACAAAGTTTCTACAAGCAGTCTAATCCAGCTCAAACTCACAATCCCCCTGCCTCAGCCTCCAAGTGCTGGAGTCACAGTTTACCCCACTGAAGCTCTGACTTTGATCATGATAAGCCACCCCCTTGCAGGCCCCGGTGGGTGAGCACCTTGACAACCAGGAAGATGTCAGGGGAGGGGTAGGTCACGGAGAAGATGGCAGAGCGTGCCAAGGTGGAGATGGCCGGGTGGGTGCCATGGGCCCGGAGCAGTCCCTTCACGGAGTCCGAGTTTAGGTCAAAGTAGAAGTTTTCTGAAATCTGGGGATATGAGAGGCAGCTAACTGGCGGACACACACACCAAGGAGGAAAAGAGAGGGAGGAGGAAGAGGAGGGAGGACGAGGAGGGGTCCAGGGAGGAGAAGGGGAAAGAGGAGGGGGCAAGGAGGAGGGGCACCTACCTTCTTTTTCTCTCGCACATCATACAGGGCCAAGGTGCCAAAGATGGGCTCAATTTCAATCTCAAACCTGAGGGAAATGGGGACCACTCTGCTATGTGACAGCTGTCACCCATATACTCTGCACCCTCTCTTTTCCCCCCTTTGGGCACAGGGTCTGATTTAGAGGCTAACTTCCAACTCCCTATGTGCCCAAGGAGGACCTCAAATTCCCAATTCTCCTGCCTCTGTCTCTCAAGTGCTAGATTGCACCACCATGCCCTGTCTATGCAGTGCTGTGGACAGAATCCAGGACTTCATGCATGCTAGGCCAGCATTCTACCTGCTCAGCTATACAGCTCATCTCCTCTGTGGGCCTTTATGAACTCATCAGAACTTCCCCCTCCCCTATGAAGTGAGTGTAGACGGTAAACTGAGGCACAGAACAGCACTGGTATCCTGCTTGAGATCGTGACACTTGAAAAACCAAGGGTCTGGCTCTGGCCTGCCCACCCTCCTGCTGAGGCACAGGGTGGAGGGGTGGAGCCTGGCTCCCAGCCACCCCTCCAAGGCCCATCAGTATCAGCCCCAGGAGCTGCCAGAAGAGCGTGGGAATAGAACTGAACAGGAAGTGCACTCAGCCTGGTCCTGCCCCTCCTGGACCCCATTTCTGTTTAGATAAGAGCAGGAAACAGAAGTTGATCCCCAGCCCCAAGCTCAAAAGTTAGGAATCAAGCTGTTGGCTCATGTGGTCGGTCATTCAACATCCACTCACTGAGTGCCTGTTGTACACAGGACACAGAATCACAGAGTGGATCACACAGACCTGTGATGACAGATGCTTGAAGGAGGCCTTAGGATTCAGAGAAGCTCTGGGAACAGCTTGAAGACCAGGGAGTAGGAAGAAGCATGGCCGTTTCCCAGGGAGGGAGCTGGGGCTAAGACGGCTAGTGAGAGGCTGACTGAGTGGAAGGAGATGAGAACAGGAAACGGGAGATGGGTGTGTGTGTGTGTGTGTGTGTGTGTGTGTGTGTGTGTGTGTGAGAGAGAGAGAGAGAGAGAGAGAGAGAGAGACAGACAGACAGACAGACAGACAATGTGTGTGTGTCTGTGTGTGTGTGAGAGAGAGAATGTGTGTGTAAACATGTGTGAGAATGTGTGTATGTGAGCATGTGTGTGAACATGTGAGTGTGTGAGAATGTGAATGTGTGTGAACATGTGAGTGTAAACATGTGTGTGAGTATGAGTGTGTGAGAGTATGTCAGAGAGTGTGTGTGAGAATGTGTGTGAACTTGTGAGTGTGTAAGACTGTGTGAGCATGTGAATGTGTGTGTGAGCGAGTGTGTAAACATGTGAGTGTGTGAGAATGTGTGTGAGTGTGTGTGAGAGAGTATGTCAGAAAGTGTGCATGAGAATGTGTGTGTGAGCATGTGTGCGCGTGTGCACAGTATGCGCTGATTCAGAGGCAGTGTTCTGATAGGGGAAGGGAAAGTCCATGACGTCCTCCCAGGGAAACCCATGTTGGCTGCCCTCTGACTCACTTGAGTGACAGACATTTCACTAGGATCCGCTGTCCAAAGTGCTCTCGGGGAGGCTCTGGGAGGCTGCAGCGTTCTACGGCTTCATCCTGAGGAGAGGGAGGGATACCTGGGATGGGTTCTTCAGGAAAGTTCTAGAATGCCTGGCCTGAGATTAGCCACACCAACCCCAGCTCCAGGCATGCCCCGCTCCCACACAAGCCTGATGGAACTTTCAGTGCCTCGTGTTCCCCAGCCTGGAGGCCTCCTCTCCTAGCCCAGTCACATCCCCCGTATCAACCATATAGCATGCCAGTCCACTCTGTCCAGAGATACAGGAAGTGCCAACAGATTTTGTTTGGATAGTTATCAGTGTGTAAAGAAAGCACTCAGTGAATGCTAGATGGACAGACGAGTACAGTATCTGAGTTTAGCAGTTGGGTTTCCAATTCTGTGACTTGGCAAGGGTTGTGAATGTGTGCCTACCCAACACCACATGAGACAGCCAACACTTTAGTATAAAATAGGGCTTTCTATCTCAGGGTCTCGCCCAACTATAGGCTGATGTGGCTTTTCTGAACACATCAAAAGTAGGTTAAACTAGAACACTCAGTAATCTGTGTTTCACATTTTGCTTTTTTTTTTTTTTTTTTCTTTGAGACATGGTCTCATGCAGTCCTGGTTGGCCTGGAATTCATAGTGTAGCCAAGGTTGACATTGAATGTCTGACCCTTCTACCTGCACCTCCCCAGGGCTGGGACTATAAGCATGAGACACCATGCCAAGCTTGAATACACTTTTTTTTTTTTTTTTGAGACAGGGTTTCTCTATGTAGCCTGGCTGTCCTGGAACTTGTTCTGTAGACCAGTCTGACTTCAAATTCACAGAGATCTGCCTGCCCCCTGAGTGCTGGGGCACCACCACTGCCCTGCTTGAATGCATTTTTGACTTACATATTTTGAACTTCAAAAAGGTTTATTGGTATTTATACCAATAACCCCATCATAGCCAAGGAGTATCTCCATTCACTACAACCCAGTAAGTACTGACTGAGTATATGGCCAGCTCTCAATAAGTGGCCAAACAAAACATAATGGTGTTTACTAAATGTCAAATAAAATGGCTAGGCATACAGAGGCATATACGATAAGTGGTCAGCACATTTGATTGATTAAATAGAGAAGTGTATAGTAGGCATACGATGGCTATTGGTTGAATAAACATGGGGATAAGCACTTAGTGCTCAATAAATGAAGGCCAGACAAGGATCCAAATAGTGTCACTAGCTGGAGATGGTATATAGTAGACAGCCAGTAAATGTCGCTGCACACACAGGGTCCTGGTCAGGTGGCTGGACTCTGGTGGGGATGACAGTGAGCCACTGGGCACCCACCTCATCAGGTGCAGGGTACAAGGTGAGCAAGGCGGGGGCCCGGTGTTGCCGCCTAAGGGCTTCATTGCGCCGGTCCACGTCCTCAGGGGCTGCTCGCTCAAGTAGTGCTGGTAGTAGTGAGTCTGAAGCCAGGCTCCTCAGGCTGAAGATGCCAGAGGCCCCACTATTTCGAGGGGTGTCCTCTGGGGAGCCTGAGCAGTGCTGGGAGTCATCGTCCTGCAGTTGAAAATATGCAAGCACTGAGTGCCAACTGCTATCCAGAGTCTGTCCCTGTAGACATCTAATCGATAAGGGAGAGAAGCTGAGGGGCAAGCCCAGGTAGGGTCACCACTACCAGGGTCTCTTGGGGACCTGGTTGGCCTCTCCAGAAATTAATGGAAATACTTCTATGTAGGGAGCTCTTTACCATTGATGTGGGAAGCCACCACATCCCACAAGTGGCCCTTCTCCAGTCAATTAGAGCACACCCAATGGCTTATCTGCCTTTGAGCTGAACTCAAACTGGCCACAATGGCCAGCCCCAGGGATTAGCTCCAAGATAAGGCCATCCCCTGGGATGGACCAATCAGAGTCTTCCCTAGGACTGTTCATTGTTGCCAGGGAAGAGAGTTCCTTCCTCTAGGTGAGTGGCTGACCATCTGACCACCCCGTCGGCTCTGCTCTCAGCTTTGAATCGAATCTAGTTCATCTCTGTGACCTTGAGTCATTGACCTGTCTATGAGCCTCAGTTTCCCCTCCTGCATCTAGTTTCCTTATTTTTTCATCTCCCTCCCTGCCCTCCTACCCCAGCTGAGGATGGAAACCATGCCTTTGCACAAGCACTGTGCTAAATCCACACCTCACTGCAAACTACATCTAACAACAACCATGGAATCCATAGTAGTTACAACAAATGATGGTTGGCATCCAGTAGGTGTTCAATAAATGCTGACCAACAAAATATAAGCATTAATAACTTCGTTCTGCCTCAGTTTCTCTGCCTGTGAAAAGGGATACTGGTTGTGGCCTGAGCAGAAAGCCTTTAGTATACACTAAGCACTTGGAAAATGTGCATTATGGTGATTCCTAACTTTTCACTCCTGGAGTTTATTGTGCTCACTGGGATCAAGGCAGTCTGACCCCTCAGGGACCCCTGCTCGCAGCCCTCTCACCATGTCCTCAGGACCTGTCCTTTCATCCCCAGAGGTATCCTGCTCGAAGACCTGGCGGGTGAGGCCTTTCTGTCGCTCTCGCTGTGTCTCTGTAGTTACAGGGCTGTAGGCTGGACTCAGTTGCTGGTACCTAGCAGGGGTGGGGTGGGGGGTGGAGCTGGAGACTCTTCCAATCACATGACATCTACTAAGGCCCCTTTTTACTAAAGAAGTTCAGCCACTCTTGGAAGGTATAGTGGGTGGATAAACAGAGGGACCAACCACCAATTGCAGCCCTTTGGCCCTCCTTCCCCTCCCATGAACCACACTGGGTTGGACCCACCTTCTGCGTACAATGACCCAGTCCTCCGAGTACATCTCCACCGCAGCCCTCACTTGGGCGTCCAACTTTCTACAGCAAAATACAACCAGGGTAAACAGAGGCAAAGAAACATTTCCAAAGGCCTAGGAGAAAAGGACTGTGGGTAACAATGCTTGGGAGGCTGAGGCAGGGGGATTTCTATGAGTTACAGACCAGGCTAGGGCACACTGTGAGACTGTCTGACTAAAGGCAGGCTGAGGAGGCAGCTCAGTGGCAGAGCTGGCTTCCTGTACACCAAGCCCTGGCGTCCAGCCTGGGCACTGCATAGACCAGGCATGATGTATACACCTGTGATCCCAGCAGTGGGGGGACAGAGGCAGGGGAACCACATGTTCAGACCCTGGGCTGGGCTATTTGAGACCCTGCCTCAAAACTCAAAAACAACGGGCTGCAGAGACACCCAGGGGTTAAGAGCACTGGTTATTCTTGCAGAGGACCCAAGTTGAGTCCCCAGCACCCACATGGTGACTACAACCACTTGTAACTCCAGTTCCGGAGGATCTGACGCCCTCTTCCGGCCTCCATGGGAACCAGGCGCACAAGCCATGCACAGACATACATGCAGGTGAAACGCCCATATGCCTAAGATGAAATAAACAAATCTTTAAAAAGTGGAAAAGAGGAAGCTTGAGAGGGGCTCCGGGGTTGAGAGCACTGGCTGCTCTTCCAGAGGATCCAGGTTCAATTCCCAGCAACCACATGGTGGTTCACGACTGTCTGTAACTCCAGTTCCAGGGGATCTGGCACCCTCATGCAGACATGTAGGAAAAACACCCATGTACATAAAATAAAAATAAATGATTTTTAAAAAGAACCGAAAATGTTGCTGGAGAGCTGCTGGGCAGGTAGTGACTGCTACACAAGCATGAAGACTGGGGTTCAGATCTCCAGCACCCATGCAACAGTGGGTGGGCATGGTGGCCCACCCAAATGCCCAGACTCAAGAGTCACAGGCAAGGTACCCCTAGAGCAAACTGGCTGGGAAGACTAGCCAACTTGGAGACCTCTGGGTTCAAGTGAGGGAATGAAGGAGTCAGATTCCTGACATTGATCTCTGGCCTCTGTACAGGTGAGTGTATGAGCCTGTACACTAATCTATCTCACACACACACACACACACACACACACACACCCCACCACCACCACCACCACCACCACCACCACCACCACCACTTCTAAATCAAAATCAAAGAAATGGAGGCTCAGAGAAGGCAAGTGATTTGTCCAGGGCCACACAGGTGTCCAGAGCCTGGAATTGAAGCTGGGAGTATGAGACTCCTCGAGAGGGATTGGGCGTGTGTTCGCACACAGCACGCACCCGTCCTCGGGGACCCCAGACTCTGTGGTCCGACATTCTCGGGGCTGCTTCAGTAGTTCTAAGTCATCAGCTGGAAACTCTATCAAGTCCCTGAGGGGCCCGGGCTCGACTTCAGGCGGCCGACTTGAAAGTACATCCTCAAAATCCAGGGGTTCGATGACCTCCGTCAGAGGGACCTGATGGAAGAACAGTGGCCATGGCTCCCGCTGGTGAGAGGCGGAGAGCATGCTCACAGTTGACTTTAGACAGCAGGAGGGGGTGACGGGAGCTTCTGAGGGTCGAAGGGAGCCGGCGAGCTCAGACTTTCCATAGCAGCTTGGCCAGCGCCCTGCCCCCTCCCTCCAGGGACTCCAGGAAGGAAATCACACCCTGGTGTCTGGAAAGACTCTAATGGTAAAAGGAATGGCGGAGACAATTCCTGAGTCCCACCCCTTCCCCCTGTGGCAGGAAGTTTCTTCCAGCCCCCAGCCTGGGGCCCCAACTGGGTGGTCCAGGAAGCCAGTGTCACTCCCAGACCACCCTTGGAACACACACCTCTGCATCTGCACAGATGTGAGAAGGACAAGGACCCTTCCTCCTCCCCCGCCACTGAACACAGAGGGTCCAAGTAGCATCAGAGCAGGGTGTACCCCACTGCTGCCAGTCACAGGGCAGGGACTCACCCCCAGGGAACTACTGGAGCGTCGGCTGGAGTGGGGTGAGCCGCTGCGTTCCCGGGACACCTGCTTCCGGACCTCGGCAGCCCATGTCCTGGGAAGACAGTAAAGGAGTCTGGGAAACAAGAAAACTCAGGTGTGAGGGGGTGGGGGGAAGGTGGGTTTATTTGTAGGAGAGATTTTAGGTGATGAAAAGAAAAAAAAAAAAGAGGCCTGTGAGATGGGTCTGCAGGTAAAAGCGCATGACCACCTGTGCTCAGTCCCCTAAGACTCACATGGTAGGAGAGAACTGACTCCCAACAGCTGTCCCCTTACTTCAGGTAAACAAATGAAGAACAATGGGCTGCTGGGGTGTAGCACAGCGGCAGAGGGCTAGCCCTGCTGAGCCCCGAGTTCCATTCCCAGCACCGCAAAAACTAAATAAATAGATAAACAAAAGCTTCAGGTTTCTCTGTGCCCCAAACAGACAGGGAAATGCCACTGTGCCAGACCTGACAGTGACAGTTTCCACCCCAGCGCCGGAGCTCTTCAAATACTCCTTGAGCAGGCACCTGTTCCATCCTGTCTGTGAGGCTGTGGGCACACCACTCCTGCCCAGCCTCAACTAACCCACTCACAGCTGCACTGACCTCAGAGGGCTCAAGGGAGAACACAGGGCCTCCTTACAGCATTCTATAGGGGTATGCTCTCAGGGAGTCTAGGATGAGGCTGCCATTGTGGAGGCCAACAGGACCCTCAGCTCAGAGAAAGAATGGCCAGAAACCAGGCCTGCTTGAAATCCCAGTTCCTGAGGTAGTGCTGATTCCAGGTGTTCAATAATGTTTATTTTGTTTTGAAGTGCTCAGGATGACCTCTGGCCTCTTAAATGCTAGTAAATGCTACAGCTGAGACACACCCCCAGCCCCTCACTGGGGAATTCTAGGCAGGGGCACCACCACTTAGCCATGGCCCAACAAAACCAAAACCAAGAAAAAAAAAAAAAAACAATTAGTCAGTGTACATATAAAAGTCAAAGATAATTCATGGAAGTTATTTTCCTTCTCCCACTACTGGATCTGGGGCATTCAGGCTTGGTGGCAAGCCTCTTACCTGCTGAGCCCTCTCATTGGCCCAGCAACAAAACTAAACTTAGAATTATTATTTATTTTATGGGTATGAGTGTATTGCCTACATGTATGTGTATGTACCACATGCATGCCTTGTGCTCTCAGAGGTTAGAAGAGGGTGTAAGATCCCCTGGAACTGGAGTTATGGATGACTGTGAGCCACCATGTGGGCTCTGGGAACCAAATCTGGATCCTTTTAACCCTGAGCCATCTCTCCAGCCCCAGGGAAATTAAAGTAAGGATGAAGGTTTTGTGCTCAAATTCAAAACCTCAAAGCAGAACTCGCTGAAGCCTAGGGCACTCAGGGCCCATAGAATTAATATTTTTAAAAGATGCCAGGACAGGGATAGAGGCTGTGTCCCCACCCGAGCTATTCTTTGGCTAGAGAAGAGGATGGGGGAGGTAGACACACAGACACTGCCCTTGGCCTTGGAAAACAGTGATGAATTTGTAACCCAAGTCATGGGAGCTGCTGCGTTGTTGCTAATAACACAAGCCCCAAATTCCTAGGATGGCCTTATGCACCATTACTAGGTAGAACACGGGTGGAGGTGGGTGTCTATGTGCACACAGATGGGGGCCAGAGGTCAACTTTTTTTTTTTGTTTAGTTTCTTCAATTCTTTTTTTTTCTCCATTTTTTAATTTAAATTAGAAGTAAGATTGTTTTACATGGCAATCCCAGTTCCCTCTCCCTCCCTGAGAGGTCAATTTCTTATGTCCTCCTCTGGTACCATCCATTAGGACAGGCTGCTGGCCAGGGAGCTCTGGGGAGCCACCGTTCTCCATCATCCCAGAGCCGGGGCTATGGGTGTTCTACATCTGGCTTTTACATGGATGTTAGGCATTGAACTCAGGTCCTCATACTTGCATGGCTGTTTACTGACTGAGTAATCTTCCTAGCCCCCCAACATTTTGAGACAGGGTCTCATGTAGCCCAGGCTGGCCCCAATTTCACTATGTAACCCAGGCAAGGCTTGTACTCTCAACCCTCCTTCCTTCCGTGGTTCACATGGTAAGATAAAAGACACGCACCATCATACTAACCCTCCTCTGCATTTCTTATTTCTTCCCCCAAGTCTGACTGGTTCAGGTATCCCGGTAGACCTGGTAGAATCTCTCACTCTCCCTCTCTCTCCCTCTCCCTCTCTCTGATTTAGGGTTTCTCTGTCCTGGAACTTGCTTTGAAGACCAGGCTGGCCTTGAACTCACAGGGATTCACCTGCCTCTGCCTCCCAAGTTCCAGGATTAAAGGCGTGTGCCACCCCCACCCACCCCCACCCCCAGCAAGCCTGGCATAGAACACATTCCTAAAGAATAGAGATAGCATTAAAATGGCTCAGCAGGTAAAGGCCATCTCCACCATGTGCAACGACCTGAGTTTGGCCCTCTGCACCTATGCAAAGGGGGATGGAGAGAGCACCACCTCAGGCATCCTCTCACATATACAGGTACCCTGTGACACCTGTGTGTACACATACCACACAATAATAAGACATAATTTTAAGGAGGCAAAATAATGAACTGAATTGAGTAGGTTTCCCCAAATCAGGACCTAAGTTCAACAGGAGATACTGTAGCAACCGTGGAGCTCATCCCAGGGCTGGCAAGGTTAAGTGGGGTCTATCCTTATGGGCAGGATGACAAGCCAGAAACAGGGTCAGAGGTTTTGAGCTCTGTGCCCCCACATCTGTCAAATGACTCCACAGAAAGCCACACAAACCGATGACACAGGGGTTTTTTGTTTTTGTTGTTGCTGTTTTTCAAGACAGGGTTTCTCTGTGGAATAGTCCTGGCTGTCCTGGCACTCACTCTGTAGACCAGGCTGGCCTCAAACTCACTGAGATCCACCTGCCTTTGCCTCCCAAGTGCTGGGATTAAAGGCCTGTGCCACCACTGACATATGTTTTTAAAGACAAATTCATGAACATTCGCAAAGATGTCAGCACCCAGGAAACTCTTTTCTACTACAGAGACATCCCTCAAATGGCCACCTGCAATGGTTGACAACTAACAGAGACAGTGCCTGCTGCCCAAGCCTGAGAACCCATGCTTAGATCTCCAGCACCACACAACAGCCCCCAGCACTTCGGGAACAGAGACAAGAGGATGCCTGGGGCTCCCTAGCCAACAAGTTTAGCTGGAGCTCCACATCCCAGGAGCAACTCTGCCTCAAAATGTAAGGTGACTTTAATCCCAGCACTCAAGAGGCAGACACAGGTGGATCTCTGTGAGTTCGAGGCCAGCCTGGTCTACAAAGTGAGTTCTCTAAGATGGGCTCCAAAGCTACACAGAGAAACCGTGTCTCAAAAAAAAAAAAAAAAAAAAAAAAAAAAAAAAAGATGGAGGGAGGCTGGCAAGATGGCTCAGTGGTAACTTGCTGCCAGGGCTGATGACCTGAGTTCAATCTCAGCAATCCACATCCTCCGTACACAAGCTGTGTAACATATGAGGGACATCAGTTGACTTCACGTCTCACGTCTACACACACATACACACATACACATACACACACACACACACACACACACACACACACACACACACACCGTACATAGTGGCAGACGTCCAGGATGTAGGAAGACTCCCCCACATCCACTGTCATTACTGAGCAGACAAAAGAGACTGAGAGAGTAGGCAGGTGTGGTGGTGCACACCTGTAATCCCCACACTTGGGAGACCGAAGCAGGAGACTTGCTGCCAGTTCAAGGCCAGCCTGAGCTACAGAATGAGACCTTGTCCCATAAAACAAAACAGAAGGGTTGGGGGATGACTCACTGCCTGGTAAACTGTTTGAGGGCCCGTAGCTGAAGGAAGAGGCAAGCATACCAAAGCTTGCTGGTCAACCAGCCTTGCTGAATTTGGTGAGCTCAGGTCCCACTGAGAGACTCTGCCTCAAAAACCAAGGTGAGGGTAGAGAGTCGGCTCAGTGGGCAAAGGCCCTTGCTGCCAGCCTGATGACCTCAGCTTGATCTCTGGCATCTATACACAGTGAAAGGTTGGACTCCTGCAAGCTGTCCACTAACCTTCCTCCACACACTGTGGTGTACACACACACACACACACACACACACACACACACACACACAAAGTAAATAAATGAAAAATACATATTTTAAAAAGTTAACCATTCACAATGCCTCATGTAGTCATCTCGCACTCAGAAGTTGAGGTAGGAGGATTGCTGGAACTTTGAAGCCACTTTGGGCCACATGGTCAGTTCCAGGCTATGGACTGGATATGTGGCTCTGCTGGTAGAGCACTTTGCCTGGCATATGTTCCAGCCCTAGCACCACAGAAACTGAGTGTGCCAGTGCACATCCTAACCCAGCACTGGGTCAGGAGGACTAGGAGTTCAAGACCAGTCTTGGCCACATAGTGACTCTGAGGTCAGCATGGGTTATATGAGAGCCTGTTTCAAAAAGCAAAATACAACCATGTATATCCAAGACTCCATTCAGCTCCCTGATGTTTGGGTTCATGTGGGATTTGTGGGTGAACTCAATGGATAGGTGAATACAGGTTCAGGTCCACATACAGAACTGTTTACCTACCAAACAGCTTGGGAAGTCTTGGGACACTTCCCCAAAGTGACTTAGGAACTCAGGATCATTTTCTGATCTTACTCTGGGCTCCACAGCCCCTATTCTTCTGGACAACACCCATCTTTCTCACTTGAGCCAAAACTCAAGGGCATAGGAACACATGGGTCAAGAAAACACATGGTACTATGAGGGGGATGGAAAACCGTCCAACTGCTCTGCTCCAGGTCACATCCCTCCTCTATCCAGAACTCTCTATGGCTCTCATTTCACTTGGGTTCATAGTCAAAGTACTCCTTCTGTTCTCCTCTGTGGCCTCAGGGCCTTTGCACTCGCTTCTTCCCTGGATGATGGGCTGGAAATCTTTTCCTTCTGTTAGGTCTGTGCTTAAGTGCACCAGCCCCTCCCACTAACTCATGAGCCCCCACCCTCCCCATCTCCTTCCTGTCTTTCTCCTCCCCGCCATATCACTGATACATCTATCTAGCCCCTCCTTGCCCCACCCACCATAGCAAACCCAAGAGAGGCTACTTTCATGTGTTTCCATTAGTGTGGGACTCACAAGGAGCTTCTCTAAACCTAAGGGGTGGTCAGAACAGGTTTCCAGTGGATCGGATTTCAGAGATGATTACGAACCTGCCCCAGTTTTGAGCCTTCTCCCAAGCTCTCTCACTATCACCAGTGGCCTCGGAAAGGGATCCCCCAGCATCTGTCACCTGTCCCCTCCACCGTCTGCCCACCAGCTGGCTCAGTCCCCAGCCCCCTCGACCCCCCTCCTGCGCCCAGCCGGTGCAGGGAGAGGCTGAGGCAGGAGACTGAGGGGCTGTCCCCAGCTGTCCCCCAGGTCTGGCAGCTTCCCCCTCTTCCCAGACAGCTGGGTTCTGGGACCCTGGGCGGGGGAGGGGCCGGATTTCCCCCGGCCAGCGAGGGAAGGACGTGAGAGCAGCAGTTGTGTCG